GAGACCGTGCCCCTGTTGGAAGGTTTGATGGGGCAGATCATTGGCGGAAGGAGCTAAATCTCAAGATCATGTTATGGGCACTCATTTAATGTTGAATGCACCAATAAATCTTTCACCTGCTTTGAAGCAACAAAAATCTACTGATTTCTTTGAATCAAACATGGAGCCAGAAATAGAACTCTCACATAAGTCTTTGTGTAAGAAAGTGTGGCATTATATAAAGAAGTAATTGTGGTACCTGTATTTAAATACAGAAGAAATATATTCAAATTTACTGTGGTTTGAGTGATACCACTCATACCTAAGAACATGCTTTCCCCCTCATCTTTATTATCTGTGGCCCCTCAATAAAAATCCTGTTAAGGTAGAGAAATAGAGAGAGTGTAAGAAGAGAGGGACGTGGTGGTGGTGCTGCGGGTTAAACCGCTGAAGCCTCTGTGCTGCAAGGCCAGAAGACCAGCAGTTGTAAGATTGAATCCACGCGATGGAGTGAGCTCCTGTCGCTTGTCCCAGCTCCTGCCAACCTAGCAGTTCTAAAGCATGTAAAAACGAGAGAGGGAAGGTAACGGCGTTCTGTGACTAGCCGCCCTGGCCACGTGACCACGGAAACTGTCTACGGACAAACGCTGGCTCTCTGGCTTGGAAACGGGGATGAGCACCGCCCCCTAGAGTAGGACGCACTGGACTAAATGTCAAGGGGAACCTTTAAAACCTTTACCTAAGAAGAGAGGGCAACAGGTTATTTTAGTGAACGTCACAGGATTTGAATTCCGAATCCTGTGGTCAAAATCAACATTTTACCAATCGCCACTTTTAAAAAAACGAATTAGTTGGATTACGACTCCCAGAACCTCCCAGAGGCCAACTTTCCAAGCTCTCGTGCAACGAAACCGCGTGCACTTCAAAGGCACAGCTATGAAGGCTTTTTACAGCCCGAGCTTTTTCTGCCCCTGCCCTCTAGAGGTCGCCCGAGAGCTCTGGGGCGCCTCTCCCGCCTTTCCCACACCCACGCCCTCTGTGAGGTGGCGGCCGAGGCTCCGCCCCTCACCTGTCCCCTCACCTGCCCTCCTATCCCGTCCCTGGAGAGGAACCGGGAGGGGCGGGGCCAGCGACCACAACAACACCTGGACCGTCGTTTCCCTTTGACTTGGCCGAGCGGCGGGCAAAGCAGCCGGGGGAGCGCGCGCTGCCTTCTCTTCGGGAACGCGCTGGGCGGCAGGGAGCGACCGAGGGAGCTGCTTGGTGACTCTGGACCGGGTCGAGCGCCGTTGCCCTGCCTGGCTTTCTCTCCCCACCCATGACTGCGCCGGCTCCGGCTCCCGCTCCCCAGCGGGGGCAGCCGGGCGCTGGGAACGCCCCGGGTCCCGGCCGGATGGAGCCGAAGGAAGACGAGCCCCCGCGGTCCGCCTGGGCGCCGAAGCCCCTCTTCTCCCTTCTGGCGCGCGAAGCCGGCTCCTACGGGGCTCGGGCGCTGCTGTGCCTCGCTCCGGTCTACCTGGCCGGGTACTTGGGGCTCAGCACCAGCTGGGTCCTGATCGCTCTGCTCTTCTGGATGTGGTGGCGGAGGAACCGGCGGGCGAAGCGCTCTCGCTTGCTGGCCGCCTTCGGGCTGGCGGAGGACGAGAAGCGAGCCATCAGCCAGGGGATCGCCTTGCAGCAGCTGCCGGCCTGGGTAAGTAAGTGGCCGTCGAGGAGGCGCCGTTCAGGTCCGCTCAGAGCTTCTCGGCTCACTTGAAGGCACTGGGTCATACGAGGGAATCCCTAGAAAATTTCCTGTGCCGCGATCCTATCCTAACGTGCGAGTCTGCCCTCATTCAAGGCTTGCTGTTTTGCAAGTGTTTCTTTTCTGAAATCAAACCACTGTCTTCTGTTCCTGACTAGAGCACAGGGAGAAGCAGAATGATTTGGACTACAACTCCCAGAATCCCCTTGCCAGTGGAACGGGGGAGTCTGGGAACTGTAATTCCAAAACACCAAACTTTCTCAGGCTCTTTGAAGTCATGTCTGTGGCTGTCTGACTGCCTAAGCCTCAGGTACTGGTAGGTGAAATATCTGCATAGTGATTTCTGTGGGTAAATTCCCCAGCATACAGGGACCCAGATTGTAAAGGGGGGGGCTTCATCCGATGTGGCCAGCATGAGTGCTTTGTCAAGGGCTGTGCCAGCTGGGCAGGGTGAGCAAAATCTGTGAGGTTAATAGCTGCTCCTCAATGTCTTTTGGATTTCAGAGGATCAAAGTTTGAGTACCTTGATTTTGTGGGTCACTAAATATAAATATTTGATGTATAGGAACTCTGACACTTCAAAATGTATTGTGACTGCAGTTCACTTATTGGTGTATTTTGGACTTTTGGTGCTGTAGAGGGTTAAGAACTGTTTTTCCTCCTCTATAGAAAAGTAGTTCATCTTGTAAAAACTGGAGGTGTTGTCAGTTATAATTGCCAACATTACTACAGCTGGAATGCCATGTTGTCAGAGGAGAATATTCAAAAGACAAATGTTACCTGTTCCCTTTTTAAATTACACAGGGAGGATCCATTGACAGTCTTGAGATGACGGAGGTGGAGGCATTCCTGTACATAGAGGTCTGTGACAATGGATTGTGTCAGTTAGGGCCCATTTAGAACCAGGCTTGCCAAAAATTAATGGGTCTTCTGAAGTTTTAGTGCTTTCCTGCTGTAGGTGTGGCCTTCATTCTTGGAACCAATTAAAAACAAACCCTTGAACCTTCCCCTCCAGTCATCTGGATAGGTTTAGTTCCTGGACTGAAACTGTCACAAAATTCCTATATTTTATTGTGCCACTGCTTTGTATGCAATATATGGGCAACTGTAAAACCTTGATCCAGGTAATATACCTACTGTGTGTGCCAGAAAAGGCTTTAAGAGGCAGAATGGTCTGGTTCAACACTGTGCAAACTTCATGCTTGTACGAGTTATATATATTAGTGATAAATTTACCACTCAACGCAAAGTATCCCAGGACCGATACGCATTGTGATGACTTACATATATAGGTATGAACCAAATCTGCTTTTAAGTTTTTACAGGGATTCTTTTTTTAAAAAATCTCTAAAACTGAGAGCTGCACAGAGATTCGATAAAAGGTAACCAATTAAAACTCCAGTTTTCCAGATGAGGAATACTGAGGTTGAAAATCGAAACAGAAGAGGCATGTAGCTTTGCAGTGAGGTGGTGATCCCTCCAGGGATGCATCTTCAGTACTGCTATGTTTGTCAGTTGCAGCTGGTGCGCATTGGGTGTGGCAGAGAAAGACAGCTAACGGAATGGAAACAGACGTCAACAGTTGGTGGGTCTAACAAAGGTTTGGTTTGGTATTTCCCCTGCCTTGTTATGCCATGGTGGCACAACCCCTTTACATTTAATATCTATCTTAATAGAAGTGAGTTCTATTCATTTGGTAGGCTTCTGCGCTATTTTAGTTTTATTTTGCCCTGAGGGAAAGGGTCGCCTCTACCATACTTTCAAGCTTTCAAGTGGGGAGGTATGCCCTACCTCCCCTTAATGGGAAAGCTTCCGCTAGTGCAGGGGTGGGCAATTAATTTCTATGGGGGGGCACATGAAAAATCTGAACTGTGTTCAGGGGCCAAACCAAATTGACTTAAAAATAAAAAGAAACAATGATGTTATGATTGTTTTTATTTTAAACTTGTTAATCATCACAAATACTAAAGAGGTTTTTTTGCGGTATGTTGAAGATAAGCAACTGATCAAGTTTAGACAAAAAGCTATAAATGGTTTTGATGTTCAAAACTGTCCGCGGGCCGGACAGGAACAGCTTGTGGGCCATATGTGGCCGTCCAGCCGCACTTTGCCCTGGTCTGCACTAGTGGCTGCAGTGTGAAAGAAGTTGAAGGATAATCTTAGTGCTTAGAAGTAAGCATCAGTTCTAACTGCAAAGTTCTCATTGTCACATCTGTTTTGGCTCTCAGAGAGGGTGAGTGACTAGCACAAGCAGGGCTGGACCAAGACATTCTGTCATTCGAGGCAGGCCATCAACCTTCACCTGAGACACCAGCCTACAAAATCTCCATGGCCACTTTGATCCACAGTGCCATTCTTTGAAGAAGTCTCAGTTTGTAGAGCAGGGCATTGGAAGAGTGGGGCGAGATAATCCTATGTGACCCTAGAAGTGATGCCAGAGGCTTAAAGCTAAGTGGTCAGTGTTAAACTTTCATCAGTATTTTTCACCTTTCCCGCCAAGTGGTGGACATCTTGGGCAAAACCACTGAAAGCTTCATGAAATGTGGACTCCAGCCTTTTCTGTCTTGGTGGTAGGTAGGAAATACAGTGGTGCATCGCTAGACAGTTACCCTGCATGACAATTTTTTCACTAGACATTGACTTTTTGCGATTGCTATAGCGATTCGCAAACCAGTGATTCCTATGGGGGAATTTCACTGACTGGACAGTGTTTGGTCCCTGCCTTACAAACCAATTTTTGCTAGACAACGATTTTGACAGCTCCCACCGCACTCGCAAAACAGGTGTTTTCGGGACCTAAGCTTCGCAAGATAGCTATTTAAACAGCTGATCGGCGGCTTGCAAAGTGGCTTTCCTATGGCCAATCTTCACTAGACAACGATGATTCTTCCCCATTGGAACACATTAAACAGATTTCAATGCATTCCAATAAGGAAATGCTTTTCACTAGACAGTGATTCAGCTAAACAGCGATTTCAGTGGAACAGATTAACATCATCTAGCGAGGCATCACTGTAATAGATGGATCTGTTGATCACTCACGGGCAGATCAGTGTGAGTGTGACTTGCTACCTGTTCTGATCTGCCAGCAAAAGCAAGAAGATATGGAAGCAATGCCACTGGGCATGAACCAGTCACGGCAAATTAAGTTTTGCTTCTTTGCAATTTTCTTTCTTCTATTTAAAATACTTGGAACCAGAACCCAATCTACTGTGATATCACAGTGATCCTTCAACCTGTTTCATTGTGGTTCACCTGTGGAGGTTTCAGGAGCACACCTAATGCCATATTTGTGGTTTTTCTTTTATTGAATCTGCTTCTCACCTTCCTCCCAGACCTAAGGTGGTTGTGTTTAGTCAGAAGCATTTTATTAATGGAATAATTCCTCTTTCCAGAGATGCTTACTCCCAAATAATGGAGTACAATAGCTGTGGCTGTTGGTCAGCATAGACATGCCATATAATTATTACATCTAATTGCTCCTTAAAGTCATTCACTTCAAAGTTCCTGGGTCATTTTGTGTTGAACAATAGGGATTTACATGGCTTTCTGCAGCTGTTCCAACCCAGTTATTTGGATGTTGTGACTTCCACTGCAGAGTAACAAAGGGTGCCAAAGTTTAGAGCATTTATTTTCACTGTGCATTTTCCATGTACACCTCTGAATCTGAGGTGCTCCTGTAAAAGGCATACCACAGGGAAAATCAAAGATATGTTGACTAGAAGTTGTACTTGCAGATGTTGCTCATTGGCTGGCATAATAAAGGGAATGGCACTGGGAAAAGTGTCATTTGGGGATATACAAATTATTAAAAATCACAGTGATTTATTGTGACTGAATATGAATCTCCAAAGCATGATAAAGAATATGTACTGTATTCTGTTTCAGATAGAGTGGCCCCTCCCTGCTATCCAGTCATTTAATACCAGCAGCAGATCTAAAATCAGATTCTAGCTCCTGTTCATTACAGTGTGGGTTTTGTTTGTTTGTTTTTTGAGTGGTGGTAGGAGTTTAAGTGTGTGATTCATGGCGTATCTATTGTATATATGTAAATACTGTGAACCTCTTTGACGAGTGTAGTAAAAAAGGAAAATATAGATCTAAAATACTAAATCTTTATGCATTGGTTCCACACGTGCGTGTCTTCCTTTGCTCCTCTAAAAAAATCCTGGCCATTTTAATCTGTAATATTTATTGCTTATAATCTTTTTAGAATGATACTACCTGACATTGGAATGCAAAACAAACTTTATTTAGCATTGTACAATCTTTGTAACGTGCTACATTCAGCTCATTCTCAGCTTTTGCCCTCCTAATGCCATCCCTGCATTTCCTTGCTACTTGTCTGTACTCATCCTTGGCGGCCCTTCCTGTACATGCCTTGGGGGGGGGGTTAGGTCCTCCTTGAGCTTTTTGTGAAGCCACACTGGCCTTTTTTGCCACCTCCCCCCTTTTTTTCTTGTTGGAGTTGTTTGGAGTTGTGCCTTTAGAATTTCTTTTTTTAGAAGCTCACACCCTTCTTGGACTCCTTTTCTTGCTAGGATCTCCTGCCATGGGACCTTACTTATCTTTGTTCTGAGATTATTAAAATTGGCTTTTTAAAATTTCAGCAGACATGTGTGGATACATTCCGCTTTCGTTTCCTTTGAAATCAAGAATTCTAGAAGGACATGGTCACTTTTGCCTAGAGTTCCCCATACTGCCACTTCCCCCACCAAGTAATCTCTGTGATTACAACTAAAGGCATTTTAGTGTTGGAAAAACATGATTGATGCACATTACAGTGGTGCCTCGCATCATGACGTGAATTCGTTCCAGCAAAATCACTGTAGAATGAAAATGTCGTGATGTGATTTTTAAAAGCCCATAGAAACACATTAAAACCAGATTAATGCATTCCTAGGGGCTTCAAACTCACCGTCCAGCGAAGATCCTTCATAGCGCAGCCATTTTTGCTGCCTGTGCAGTGAGGAATCCGTGCGAAAACACAGCGGGCATTCATTTTGTTTACTCAGCGGCCATTTTGAACCCGCCGATCACCTGTTAAAAAATCATTGCTTTGCGATGATCAGTTCCCGAAGCAAGGAACCGATCATCGCAAAGCGAAATTCCCCCATAGGGAACATTGTTTTGCGATCGTCGTGATGCGATTTTGTCATCAAACGGAGCGCCCGTCTTGCGGGGCACCACTGTATTTGGTCTCAGATATCAGACTTAACTTGTGGTTAAGAGCAATCACAAAACAAAGTAGGATAATTTGCAAAGTATATGAGGTGAGGAAAGCATCTGCTGTGTATTCAGATGCTTTAATCAGTTAAGGAACACTCTCTTCTAATGACAGATTATGCCCTGTTTATGCTCTCCAGAGATTCCACTTTCTCTTAGCCTTCTCATTTACAATATGGGAAAGAAAGAACAGTAATACTGTTCTTGCTTGCAAAACTATGAAACACTTTGAAGACTTGAAAGTGTCATATACCTGTTATTGCGTGCTGTTATGTGCTGTCAAGTTGCCCTTGATTTATAGCAAGCCCATGAATTAGCAGTCTTCAGAATGTCCTGTTCTCAATAGCCTTGTTCAGCTCTTGCAAACTGAAGCCTGTTGCTTCCTTTAGGGAATCAATCCAATTCATAGTGGGTCTTCCTCTTTTCCTGCTGCTAAGTAGGGTCATAGCTATTACCCTACCTTTATGTTGTTTAAATCAGTACAGTATGATAGTATGAAGTTTAATGAGAAATCTAATATAAAGTTGAGCAGCTCCATAGCTTGAGAATGTGCCTCTTTTCATCTCACTCCAGATCAAATGCATTTTTTTTGATACATGTCCAAACCAGTTTCCCCCTTGGAAAAAAAAATCAATTGACCCTTATTGATTTAGATATATGTTGACCATCATCTAGGTAGAAATAATTCTTGAATAGTTAATTATAGTATCTAAGAAGTGTATTAAAATGGGATACAGGATTCTGTTATATATTGAAGTAATGAGCGGTAATCTTATTGATTTTAAAACAGGGCATTCTATGGTATGAATAAATTCTGATTTGCTACATAGAGCTTTTGTCACAGGACAGAAAACACCTGGTCTCTGTGGTGTTCATCATTTTTTAAACTAAACATCAATAGTATTGTATCTCTGCCAGTTCACAAGCTGTGCAGTGAAATGATAGAATGGAATTTCAGTGAACTTGTTTATCTTGTCTAAACAGGGAAATGGAAAAATTAATAACAACTTGTAAAGACAAGGTTTGTCTGCATAGCAGTATACTAGGAATATATGATATGTGATTAGCATTAAAAGTAGTTCTTTAAGTGGTCTCTCTGTAGTTCAAAGAAGAGATACAGCATGGTTCAGTGGAATGAAGCTGCCCTGTACTGGGTCAGATTATTGATTCATATAGCCGGGCATTGTCTAACAGAAGCTATTCAGAGCTGTGGCTTAAACTCTGTGTAACTGAGGTTGCATGGAACATATTTAGGGTCACAGAGCTGTGTCCCTGTCTCTGAACAATAACTATATGAAGTAGCAGCAGTATTTATTTATTATTTACTGTTTCTGTTATTTGTATACCACGCAATTTATTATTTACTATTTCTGTTATTTGTATACCAGGCAATTTAGTGCAAAACATTATTCTGGGTGATTGACAATAATATATACCCCTCCCCCATCAAATCCCAAATAAACCCAGTCCAGTAAAACATCCCATAACAAACAGACCCATTGATGGCCAGCTAGTAAACCATGTTCACAATTACTACAGGGATAGAATCTCTCTAAAGACTTCTTTGAGGAGCAAGTATTTAAGAGCTTCTTGAAGGCTGGGAGGAAGAGGGCCTGACAAATCTCCATAGGAAGGCTGTTCCACAGATTTGGGGCCAATACTAAGAAGGCTCAACTCCTCGTGGAGGCCTTCTTTGCCTTCCTCTGCCACCCATAGAAGACTGACTTGAGTGGATTGGGTGGCATGGGCTGATGTTCTCCAGGGGAGGCATTCAGACAAATAACGTGGTCCCACCTTTTATTGGATTGGGTTTGAGGGCTTTGTATATGAAGACCAACATCTTGAACCTGGCTTGGAAAGGTGCAGGAAGCCAATACAGCTGAGCCAGCCGTGGGGAAATGTCATCAAACTTTGCCACCTCAGTGATTAGCCTGACCATCCCATTCTGCACCTGTTGCAGTCTCTGAGTCAGCTTCAAGGGGAGTCCTACACTCAGAGCACTGCCATAGTCAATCTTTGAGATCACCTGCTCCTGGACCAGTGACATCAAGGACCTACTGTTGGGATGGGGCATAACTGGGCAATGAGGGGAAGCTGAATGAAGGCTGACCTTACCACAGTCAATATTTGATGTTTCCAGGAAAGGGCTGGGTCTAAGATCACCCCCCCAAGTTATTTACTTGATCCCTAAGAGGAAGAGTAACTCCACCTAATATAGGCATATAACCTTCCAATCTGTCTCGGGGGCCCCACAACCAACAGGATTTCTGTCTTATCCAGGTTCGGTTTCAACCCATGAGCCTTAGTCCATCCCAATATCAAGACTAGGCAGTGCTCCAGCACCTGGAAAGCATCTGCTACAGAGGATGTAGAGGAGATACAGAATTGTGTGTCATCAGCCAACTGATGACAACATACTTCAAAACTCCAGATGACCTCTCCCAGTGGTCTTACATAGATGCTGAAAAGTCTTGGGGTCATGGACACCCCCTCCAGGGAACCCCACAAGGGAGGGTCCATGGGGACACTAACTTCTCTTCAAGCTGAACTCTCTGGACATGTCCATCAAGAAAGGATCTGAATTAGTGGAGAGCCAGCCCTGTAGTTACTGTCTTGCATTTAGGTGGTTTGGAGGAGCTACGTTGTTTTTCACATCTTCTATGGTTAGATTTCTCACAAGCAAAAGATTCGTTTTTTTCTAGAGATGACTGACTCTTTGAACAGGTGACAATTGATATAAGCTTTATACTACATAATGTGCTCTCAGTGTAATCCCGCAATTCATATATTGTCTATATTTTTAACAGTCTGAATGTATTTAATGAGTAAAATAAAGTTACATTGTTACCAGAGTCTTAAAGTCTTAAACACTTTAAGCTACAGTCTTAATTCAATTCGCAAAGCCTCCATTCAAACCTTTGGCTTTGATTTGTTTGAGCCATCTGACTTACAAAACTGTATTCTTGGCGGTCATAACTTTGACTAGGTGTGCAAGTAAGTTGGCTGCATTGCCTTGTGACAAGCCTTACTTGCCGTTTCATAAAGATAAGGTGATGTTGTTTATGGACATTTCCTTCGTACTTAAGGTACTTTTGAGTTTTCATAGGAACCAGCCATTTAGTGTTAACCTACATTTTTTCCAGCACCCAACACATTCCTAGAAAAGACACTTCAAACACTGGATGTCAGGTGTGCTCTTACATTCTCCATTGATAGAACAAGTTATTTTAGGAAAACGAATAGACTGTTATCTAGGAAACAAAAACAGTAAACAAGTGTCATAGAGACTGTCGAAATGGGTAGTGAAAGCAATTTTATTGCCCTATAAGTTAGCCAAGCACCTCTTGGGTGGAATGGTGTATATGCTGAGCAGAGGGGTTAAAGCTGTGCAATGTTCCTGAGATCATCTGCACAGGTGCAGGAGTACCCATGTACGTGAATTTACAGATGACAACTCAAAGAACAGTTACAGGTATGTAACCTGTTCTTGTTGCATTTTAATTCTGTTGCTTTTAAATCCTATTGCAAGCTGCCTTGGATCCTAGCTCAGAGAATAGGAACATATAAAAAGTTTAACCAAAGAAGCATAAACACTAAGATTAGAATACTGTTAGTGTTTGTATTACATGCTGTGGAGAATTTGGGCTAAATGACAGGATGCATATTGGTGGCACGGTCAGGTGTGTGACCAGGGATGCAACCCAGCACCTCATTAATTCACTGCAGTTAGTCTCAGCAAATTTTATAAACCTTACGTGAGCACCAGCGAAACTCTAACCGATTTCCCCTTGTACTGAAAATAAGCAGATAATAATATAGTGCACTACAGCTTCTCATTAGTGTCCTGTTAGCCCTGTGTTCTTAATTGCATCTTTTCTAGTAAATTACTTAGCAAAATGAGATCTTATGTTACTTTTGTTTGCCCTTGCTTGACAGGTTAACTTCCCTGATATTGAACGGGTGGAATGGCTGAATAAGGTAAGAGACTGGATGAATTTTATCCTTACAAATATATACATAGACCAGTGTTTAGGGAGGTGTGGAACTGGTAAAACCACTCCTTCAATATCTCATTTATCTTGAAAGCCGTCTTAGAGTCACTTAAAACCACTCCTTCAATATCTCATTTACAGTATCTTGAAAGCCGTCTTAGAGTCACGAGAAGTAGGTTCCAACTTGACAACACAGAACACACACACAGTGCAAACATCAGGGCTTGATTCAGCATTTGTTGATTAAAATCCTTCAGTAGTTAAGAGAAGCTGTTAGTACTTGCCTTTCTAAGTGTTCCTCAGAAACAGGGGTCTCCAAACTTTTCACACGGAGGGCCACATAATATATTTTCAAGGGCCAAAGGAACACATGCATATGAGTACACTCAGTCCCACCCACCCACATGCACTCCCATCCACACACATGCACACCTGCCCATCTGCACACACTTCCACCCGCATGCACTACCATCTGCCTGCACACCCATCTACATGCACACACATGCACGCACATATGCCTGCTCGCACTCACACCTGCATCATGGGCGGGCTGGCTGTGGCCTGTGGGCTGTACTTTGGAGACCCCTGCTCTAGAATATTTAAGTGTTGAGATCTTGTATTCTTCTTCAATTATCAGCAATACATTGTTTGAGTATAATGTTTTCTTGGGGTGCTTCCAAATTAATTTTTATTGTGTACTAACTGCAGCATTCACCTAATTTTGTCAGGTGTCATCATTATCATCCTCACAAATTTGCAGTCCTCTTGGATTTTCATACTATATCTTCTTTCTTACCAACAAATATTAAGCAGGAAAGCCAGAATCAATGCACAAGGCCCTTTGATTGCTAGTGTTACAGTCCCTCTGGCTGGAAGCACAGTTGCATAAAGTATCAACATCATATTGGCTTTGAGACAAATAGGTTGGGTTTCAAGTCTGAAAATAATTGTGCTCTGAAGATTTAAAATATGTTCTTAGTATTGATTTTGTTTACCCTTTTAAATATAATACTTGTTTAATTCTTTTTAATATTTATATACTTTCTGTTTTAGCTTTAAATGTTGTCTTTTTAAAGATGCAAGCCACTATGGGTCCTTTTAAGGAGAAAGGCAGGGCAAAATATTTTGAATAAATAAAATAAATAAATTATTTGTCTAAGACTTGCTAATTTTAAAATGTCATTAGGTGGTTTGGAGGAGCTACATTGTTTTTTTTACATCTTCTGTGGTTAGATTTCTCACACTCAAAAGATTCATTTTGTTTCTGGAGGCGACTGACTCTTTGAACAGGTGACAATTGATATAAGCTTTATACTACATAATGTGCTCTCCGTGTAATCCTTGCAATTAATGTATTGTCTATATTTTTAACAATCTGAATGTATTTAATAAATAAAATTAAGTTACATTGTTACCTTGGTCTTAAAGGCTTAAACACTTAAACTACAGTAGTGGCTTTCCGTGCAATTCAGTTTTTAATCACTTCTTCTAAGTGTGTTCTTTTGTGTGTAGGTCCTTGAACAGGTCTGGCCCTACTTTGGAGCCATTATGGAAAAAACATTTAAGGAAGTCATTGAACCAAAAATAAGAGCAAAGCATGTGCACCTGAAAACATGTACATTCACCAAAACCCACTTTGGAGAAAAGGTAAAGTTTTGCCAACACTGCAAATGACCATTTCAACTCGTTGATCATTGGGCCTGCTGCTGGTAGGCTCTGTAGAGCTATAGAACAGTGTGGTAGTTTGTACTAGAAACTGTTAAGTGTAATGTGTATGAAATATGCTTGTGGAATTTTCCTCTTGCCCATGCCAAATGGTTGTCTTGTTTACAGAGACTCAGTACAAGAAAAGGCCAAATTTGAGGAAGATATTCCTGCATTTTAGAAAATTACACATTTTGCTTTTATTTTCTTTACCTTTTTGCTGTGTATCATTTTTCTTACTAATGAACTAGATATTTCTGAGCCTTATATTTGAGTATTCTTTGTTCAAAACCATAGACAGAGTCCTATCTGTTTGCTGGTCATCATTATAGCTAACCACACTGCCATGTGTCTCATTTGCTTTCAGTGCCCTAAAATCAAAGGTGTGAAGGCTTACACCAAAGAGGCTGGCAGAAGACAAGTGATCCTGGACTTGCAGATATGGTATACAGAACTGTATTTATTTATTTATTTATTTATTTATTTATTTATTTATTTATTTCCCGCCCACCTGGTCTGGTCAGCCACTCTGGGCGGCTTCCAATAAGGTGTATACGATAAAACATAAGGATTTTACAAACAGTCCTTAATACATACAATAATAAAACAAATAAGAAATGAAAGAAAAAATAAAGAAAGAATTAAATATTGACAGGAGGGAAGGCCTGAACATACAACCATGTTTTTAGTTGACTCTTAGTTGCCCATTTCCGTATTCTTACCTATATCTAAATTGTCTGATCAGGTATCTTAATTGTGCAGCAGAACATAAAAAACTTACATTAATGAGCTGACTGTGGCATCTGATAGAATTTTTCCCCACCAAAAGCCTTTCTCAACTAGAAAGCATTGCAGTTGCAATGTGTAATGTTTTCATTCCTCTTTCTTCTCAAAGCGTATATGTTCGAACACTCTGGTAGTTGTTTGGAGAAATTTTCATTTTATTTTATTATGCTGTTTATTATGCGGTTTTAGTGTAATTTGTCTAGTACCTTTTATATTTTATTTGGATGTTGTAGATTACCCTTGTTATTATGTTATTGTTTATCTTGTTGGTAAACTGTCCAGAATTGCCTTAGCAGCCAGATGGGTGGTATAAAAATCAAATCACTCACTCACTCAATCAATCAGTCAGTCAGTCAGTCAGTCAGTCAATGCTGAACTTGTTAGGAAGTAACTTCTATGGTTATTTATCTAACGAAAGCTGAAACTGTGAAATAGGCACCAATTCCCAAGTTAATGTGTGACACTTTATATATCTATTTAATAATTGCTTAAAAGGGAAGGGGTAGCTATAAATTTCTACGTAATACATGGCCCGTTACTTTCAAACTTGCTGCAGTCTCTCTGCAGCATCTACCCACAGGCAGGGAGAGGGATATTACTTGTCAGTAGCTTGTTCCACACATTTCTGCCCAATAGCTAGTGTGGCAAAACATGCCATTAGAAGAATGAGATTCTGCTGTTTATCTAATGTGAATATGGTGCATTTACACAAAGTCATTTGCAAATGACCTAGTAGCCACCCAGTATCAAATCTGTATATCTGAGGGGAGATACGTATTTAAAAATTAAAGAGTGGCATAGTGCTGCTGTACCATAAAACTGTAATCATTTTGAATACGGAATTTTAAAAAACCATCAATGCATAAATAAATGTTTTACAATATACTGTGGTATACACCTAACATAATAATACAAAAAAGGACATGGTACTGTTCTGTATTATAGTGAGTGCCATGTCTGTAGAAATGTTTAAAAGCTGGGAGAGAAAAATATGTTGATGACAAAAGATTGTTTAAGAAGACAAATCAGGATAAGAAATAAGAGGCCAGTTGAAAGGATATAGCAAATAGATGCTGAGCTTCCGATGTTCCTAGTCAAGGCAGCCACATCCCACCACTAGAATATGAGATGAGGTACATCATACACACACACAGCTGAAATGAGAGTACTTCTGAGTATTGCAGTTCTGTAACAGATGCTGCCATCATCAAAGTGTGTGCTGCTTATATACCTCCCCATAGTGCTTAAAGGTCTCTCTGGGTAGTTTACAATTATACGGGCTACACATTACTCTCTCCCTGTGAGCTGGGCACTCATTTCACTGACCTTGGAAGGCTGTAAGGCTGAATGAATTTAGAGCTGGCTGCCAGAATTTGTTGGAATTGAACGCTAACCATCAGCAGAGTTAGAGCTGGCTGCCAGAATTTGTTGGAATCGAACGCTAACCATGAGCAGAGTTTTGACTTTAACACTACAGTTTAACCACTGTACCATGAGGCCCATCACAACCGCAACAACAACAGCTGATTCAGTGATCACAAACTTGGATTCCCAGAAGTTCTTGGGGACTCAAACTCCCAGACGCCTTCCCACTAACTGTGCTGGCCAGGGACAGCTGATTCAGTGATCACAAACTTGGATCCCCAGAAGTTCTTAGGGACTCAAACTCCCAGAAGCCTTCCCACTAACTGTGCTGGCCAGGATTTCTTTGAGTTGTAGTGCAAGAACATTTGAGGACGCAAAGCTGGGAGCTACTACCTTAGATGATTTAAGGTAGTTTTGCCCTTACTAGATTTTGGAGTCTGTGCTCATATCTGTCAGAGATTGGAAAAGTTACTGTTTGCAGTAAAATTCTCAGAATTCCCACAGCCAATAGGAAAACTAGATTTTCCAAGTCCTGCTTTGTTTGTTTATTTGCTTGTTTTTTCGTCCTATTATATTCTACCTTCTCCCCACAGGAGATCCAAGGCAGCTCACAGTCAGATAAAACAACATAGTAAACACAGTTAAAAACAATGTAAAATATAATACTAAAAAAAAAACCCAATTAAACTGATAATTGATTTTAAAAGGCATTGTTTAAAAACATTTATAGAGAATCTAGTAAGGGTGCAGATTCAAGTAAAGCCACTTTGATCAAGTGTTGCATGATTGCTGGGTTGTTGAAACCAGCTCTTTGCAATGTGTACTGTTGAAATGCTTCAGGAAGATGGGGTGGTTGATGCTGGGTGAGAAATGGAGCAGTACCAGTCAGGTATTTGTCCCCTGGCAATGCTTGCAAAAATAAGGTGGTGCTGTTCTCTGAGATCGAGTTTGAGTGCAGAAGTCAGTTCCCATTACTAATAAGTCAGTCTCGCTTCTCTAGTATCCACAGTGCCTCTGGATGACTCACAGAGGATGCTGCCTTGAGGTTACCTGCTTCATAAGTAAGGAATAGTTTCAGCAAGGTGAGGATCCAAGTGGACAGAAAAACCAGCTCGTCCAGTTAGGCACCTTGGGGAATGCAGCCTTGGGAGCCAAGTGCCAAACTCTTCCTCCAGTTTAGGGGAAAGCTGGGAGTGGCTGGAGTCTTCAGTTGACACTGGTAATGTGGCCAATGCCCAGCTGGTTTCAGTATCGAGGAATCTAACCACCCGACCCCAACTGATTTAAATATAGGGAAATGCATGCTATTGAGGAAGTGCTGATGGTTGGGAAGAGGCTGATAGCTTCTGGTGCTCTGATGACTCTTTGTGAGGTGGTGTTGGGAGTCTCCAAGGGCGGAAGCTGCTGTCTTGGGGGAAGTCAGGGGGCAAGAAACCAGATGAGGCAGAAAGGCTTAGCAATTAAAAAGTAATAAAAGTTACTGTATTTTTCCGTGCATAAGACCCGCTAAAGTTACTGTATTTTTCCGTGTATAAGACCTGCCCCCACTTTCCTAACCCAAAATTTCTTTCTTTGCAAGAAAGTGGAGGGGGAAACCGATTCCTGCTTTCCCCCTCCACTATCTTTGCAAAAAGCTGCTTTCCCCCTCCACGTTTTGCAAAGAAAATGGAGGGGAAAAGTGCTTCCTGCTTTCCCCCTACATTTTCGTTACAAACCTTTTGTAATTAAAATGTAGGGGGGAAAGCAGTATGCTTTCCCCCTCCATTTTCTTTGCAAAACGTGGAAGGGGAAAGCAGGGATCAAAGCACTTTGATTCCTCCCCCCTCCTTACTTCCATGTATAAAACGATCCTCAATTTTTCCTTTAATTATTTTAGGAAAAAGTGTTGTTTTATACACAGAAAAACATGGTATTCCCCTGCAAAGACACATTCTCCCACCCCCCACCATGACTTTTCTGTGGCTTCACTGTTATTTTGCAAATCAACCTCATGCTTTCTCCGAATGATTAATTACCAAATAAAAACAAGCTAGTTTGTAGCTTCCCTGAAGCTGTGGAAATGCTGCAGTAGGAAAACCAAACATCAAGGATTCTCTTCTTGTCCTTATGAAGCTGATTTGTGTCCATTTCTGTTTAGAGTCTCCTCCGGAAAAGGAGAATCTCTCTTCCTCTGTCTCAAGAATTTTCCACGCCAGTTGTTTTCATTGATCTGCTGTTGTTTTGGTAGCTTTTTTTTGTCTGTCACTTGAAAGGGCTTCTTCAGTGCTTCCTGTCAACTCACTGGAGACCACATAGAGAATGTGATGATGTCGTGGAACTAGGAAATCATTCAAGTTTGGTTACCTGTCACATTGCTCAGGGCAGGAATGGTCAATGGTAGCACTTCAGCTACTGTTTGCCTACAACTCCCATCAACCCTAGCCAGAGTCAATAGTATGGACCTCTGAGAATTCCAAACCAAAAACATCTGGAAGATCACATTTTGCCCACTCCCCAGAGGCTTCAGCCTTCTTGACCTGTGTTTGACTGACAGAGATGGAAAAGAACACGCCCCCCCCACCCTGCTTCACAAACGCTTGCTATTATCTTGTTGTGCCACACTGGAGATTGCACTGCTTACTAGCATTTCAAGCCAGGATGTTTTCATCCTTGCAACAGCTCTGTTGCACATAGCTATACAAGACTGCCTCGGGTAGAATATAGATCTGCATTCCATGTCTATCCAACGGTGTGTCCCTATTCAGTCCGAGCTTGGTAAGACTGAAAATATGTGGCATAGCTGCACTCCGCAGCTTGGTAAGAGTGAAAATACGGGGCATAGTTATCTTAGCAAAGTATCATTTCTTCTTTCTACCCCTCGTGGGAATTGCTGAAAAATAGCACTCAAAGGCTACAGTTGCAGGTAGAAAAATGCCCAAGTAACATGACAAATCATCATCATTACCATTCTGGCTCATCGCTTGTAGGCTCTTCCATTTCCAGAGTAATATATAAAGACCCTTAGCTGTTTATTATATTTCTTTTCTGTTTAGAAGTGATTTAGTTTAATCTAAGCAACTTTTATATGGTATTGAAAATTAACACTTGAATGTATTTACACTGGAACGTGCTGCTGTGTTAGTCTGACTAGTTGCTTCATTGCTGTAATGCCCTATTAAAATAAGTGCATATAAAAATGCATATGTGTAACATACACAACGTTACACTAGTTGTCATGTAACCATGTACATTATTTCCTTGGTCTGTCTTTCACTCATGCAGTCTGACCATTGTGGCTAAGAGGCAAAGGGTAAGACTGAAATTTCCTGAAAGACTAGTAATGTTCAAGACATACTGACCTGCTCAATATGATTTATCCATTTTTAGTTAAGTGTATAGCTCAGTTTTTCTCCAGTGATCTTCAGGAGTGTACATGCTTTTGTCCTCCTTGGTTTTTTTTCCTCACAATAAATGTGTGCTGGGTTTGGTTGAAGGAGAGTGACTGTGCTAAGGTCACCCAGTGAATTTTATGGCTCGCTGGGATTTATCATAGAATCATAGAATAATTGAGTTGGAAGGGCCCTATAAGACCATCAGGTCCAGCCCCCTGCTTAGTACACTTGAGCCTGGGTCTCCCAAGGTTGACCCAATATTCTAACACTGGATCTTTCTGGAATTTATTTAGTAAAAAGTGTTTAAGCTCAGTTTAGGGGAGACAACAACAATAGAAAATTACATGAAAACTATATCATACTTTGACAAAACATTATTAGTTCTTTTCCCTTCTGTGTGTTTGTGTGCACAAGCACATGCATGTCTGTGTAGCCAACAAGCTTCACTTGAGAGGATGCAGGCATTTCTTCCTGCCAAATGGATATGCCTTGCAGTCCTTCCAAACTACTTAGAAATCAAGGTCCTTGTGAGTGTCAGTCACCTGATAATCAAAGGCATTTAAATGCTCCAGAAGTGACTTATACCTGTGCTCAGCAGATGAGGATATATGAGTGAGCCATGATGAATTTAATAGCATATGCCTGGTGCTGTGACACAGGAAGTAGTTTGAGAAATAGGGCTCCAATTAAATCTGTGAGCAGGTATTCGTTCACAGTCATGCTCCCTGTGACCAGCAAAATAATGTGAAATCTTTCTGTCCATAATTATAATTATATGCCATCAAGTCAATTCTGACCTATGGCAACTCTTTCCTGGGCTTTCTAGGTAGAGAGTACTTGGAAGTCGCTTACCGCTAGAAATTCACCAAGGCAATAAACTGAGGAAAATGTATTTTTAGCAGGTTAGCAGCAAACAGGCGCTTGGCAACACCTGGCAAAGTTACCCTGCTTTTTTCCTCTGGTATTCTGCCATGTGTGTGGATGAGTCCAATGTTGCCATAGGCGTATTTGGGTATGATCATCATGCTACATGATGGGAATGGTTGTGCCCTGCTCCCACCCCCTGTATTTTTATTTTTTAAAAGGTGCTTAGGCACATCTTTGGATGTGCAATTTTAAATAAAGGTTTTAAAAAACAATTGGTCCTCCACATATGTTTTTTTCTGGAGAGTGTAGTTTGATTTCACACAGCTGTTTTTAAGCAATGTAAGCTCTTAAGGAAACAGGAACTTCTAAATCTGAATTTAGACATCAGTTTTTCATTAGCAAGTGCTATCTTGACCACCTCTCTGAGTTTTATGGGCCGTTCTGATTCTAAATCCACTGGAAAGTTTGTAGATTCCTTGACTGATGTTACTAGCGATACTAATAATATTTGCTAAAGCCTATGACGGTTGCCCTGTTGTGAATCAGGGCTCCTTTTCCAGCTTTCTTTCAGTGGTGAACACAAAATCAGAATGGTTCTTCATTGTAGATGTCCTTTTGCATAGCTATTGATATCGTATCAAATGAAGAAGGGAATAGTCACATTGACAGTATATAGCTATTTTCAGTGAACCTGCAGTGAGATTTCCTGGATTAAAAGTGTGCTGGGATGCATGTTTTAGGCATCTGTTGTCCCATTTTATCATGGATGCTGGTCTTTCATCTGGTCAAAAAGTGAACAATGAAATTAAGAGATGGTAAGAAAATCAACCCTGAGTGCTCACTGGAAGGACATATCCTGAAGCTGAGGCTCCAGTACTTTGGCCATCTCATGAGAAGAGAAGACTGTGGAAAAAGCCGTGATGTTGGGAAAGTGTGAAGGCAAGAGGAGAAGGGGACAACAGAGGATGAGATGGTTGGACAGTGTCATCGAAGCAACCAACATGAATTTAACCAAACTCTGGGAGGCAGTGGAAGACACGAGGGCCTGGCATGCTCTGGTCCATGGTGTCACGAAAAGCTGGACATGACTAAACAACAACAAGGTTAATCTGGGAGAAATACTCATTTGATTTCTGCCCATAAAAGAAGAAAAGCATTTATTTGGACAGTCTGTTATTTAAGGATGTTCTTGCTTCAAAATAAGATAAAGAACATTAGTTTTAAAAAGTGTGCTATCATGTAGTAGAAAATATTTGGCTAAAAACAGGTTTGCTTTGCTTGTTTGTTTGTTTGCTGCCTTTCTCCTGAAGGATCCAAGACAGTTTACATATTAAAAGAACAAAGTTCAAGCCAAAGAACAAAGCCAAACAATAAACAACTGTAATATTTTAAAAGCATTTAACAAGTATCATATTAAAAAACAATAAGAACAATGTTAAAAACAAATAAAAGCATTTAACAAGTATCATATTAAAACACAATAAGAACAATGTTAAAAACAAACGTTTCTGTCTGCTTCCACTTTCCTAAGGCAAAAAGGACACGGATATTACCAAAAGTGTTTGTTTTGAACCTTGTAAAATTCATTGACTCAGAGAGTGGTCCACACCCTCTTCCTTGTAGCTGAGTTTTCATCCTGTTGCAATGGACTTGCACCGAAGGAAAGCCCTTTCAGACAGTAGAAAGGGCACCTGTCCTTTTGTTTCTTCAAGGGTGGTTTCCACCACCATCCCTGCAAATTAATGGCATGCTAACTTGAATTCTTTTTCAGTTATATAGGAGACTGTGAAATTCAGATGGAATTATCCAAGTTTAAAGTAGGAGTGAAAGGAATACAGGTGGGTGCAGTGCAACTTGTATGTATTGAACAGTTTCTGCCACTTCACGTATTACAGATTGTTTGTCCTTCCTGACAGTGAACTAAATTTTATTTCTTTTGTCTTTTTCTTGTTTCAGTTGTATGGTACATTAAGAGTGATACTGGAACCTTTACTGGCAGATCCACCTTTCTTTGGAGCTGTAACAATATTTTTCATCCAGCAACCTGTAAGCCAGTTGTGAATTCTAATCTGGAATTTAAAATTTTAAGCATGTTTTAATTTACCTAATTTTAATGTGTATTTGTAGTAGCTTTCTGTAGCTAAAGGCATTGTTAATGTTGTCCTGCAATATAAGAGAGTTCCTATCCTACTTAAGCAGCATTTTTAGCCAAAAAAAGCATGAATAAAGATATGGCTTTGAAATATATTAATAAAGTGCCAGCAGCAGTAATGCTCTGGAAAGGACATATTTGGCTACAGTAGAGGTAGTTATGTAGGTACCTATGTCAATTAGAACGTATGTATTTCTATTTTAAATATATCTCTAATGCCTTTTAAGATGGCTCACAGACATAAAAAGAACAGTAGCACACTAAAACAGCAATCTAAAAACATTATGGGGACCTGCCCAGCACTAATATTAACACAATTAAAAAGCAATAAGCAGGAGTTTCAAATAAAGAAAAACCCAACATATTGATTATAGGAAACAGGGGAGCAAAGCCACAGCCACTGCATGTTGCTGGATGAGTCCTGAGGTGCTGAGCCATGAGTACACACACACCTGTGTTCCCTCCTCAGCTTCTCCCTTTGTGGAAATGAGGAGAGGGGAGCAAATCTGGACTACCCATTGCACTCCAAGTTCAGTGTTATCACACTCATAAGGTATGTGGCCCGCCCCTACAGGACCAGAAAGGTGGAGTCTGGCCTCACACCTCAAACCAGTTCTCTGCCTTGGCTCTAATTTCTGCACTACTATGGGACCCTGTTGGGTTGGAACACAGGTTTCAAACCTTCTCACGGCACACAGTTTTCAAAAAAAAAAATGCCATCTCTGAAATAATCAGTGTGACTCCTGAAACTGGTTACTTACAATACTTTATTGGTATTTATTTGATTACTTAGATATGCCTGGTTGACATCTATTGGGTTTTGAAAGCTGACACAAGCTTTATGCATGTGCCTTGCCTGTGGAGAAGACTCCAGTGAGTACAAACAAGCCTCTAGTGAAGGCAATGCAGAGTGGCTGTGATTACTCAGTGGCCTTTTGATTCATGCCAACCATACACAGCAGCATCTCAAGGTCCTTGTGCTGTGTGGTGATTCTTTCTTCATAGACTTAATGGTAGCAGACATAATGTCTTTATAATGGGCATGAGTGATGAAAGACCACATGGCTCTTCAGATGTTCAGTGTTTGTGAGTCATTAAAGTAATCCAAACTAATAGGCCACATGCACTAGAGACGAATGGAAGGAATGTTTATTGGGAGATTTCAGGGGCTGCAAGAAGCTCTGCCAACGTTCATTACATTAATGCAGGTGAACTCAATATAATTGCCTTTCTCAGTGGTAGAGCATATGTTTGGCATGTAAAAGCCCCCAAATTCAATCACAGCCAATAACATTCCCTACCTGAAACCCCAGAGGGTTCCTTCCAGTGAGCTTGGACCACCCTGAACTAGATGGAATGACAGTCTGGCAACATACATAAGATAGCTTCCTGTACTCCTCACTTATGGAATGTGACTTTTTGCCAATTCTAGATTTAAAATAATTGTTCCATTTACTAAACTTGCCATTCCATTCTTATGCTCTTTTATTTTTTTTATATATATAGCATTTGGAAATCAGTTGGGCTGGTATGACCAATTTGCTAGATGCTCCAGGCATTAGGTAAGTGCTCCTTTGTTCCCATCATCTTAAAGGAATGATGCACTATGTGTCAGGCTTGTACTGGGGCAATTCCTTGTATCACGTTTTCCAAAAGAAGAACAGTAACATTAGGCTATGAAGCAGCCACCTCAGGTCCAACCATTAAGTAGGATGAAGTTGGTTGCCACCACCCAATATGTAATGTTTTTATTAATTGTGCAGCTAATATTTGCATTGGTGTTTGTTTGCCTGTCTACTTGTTTTCACTTCCGTGTGAGATATTTGTGAGATTATCAGGTGCCCCTAAAACATGATTGATCCTTATTACTTATGTGCTTGACCTGGGCAGCTAAATGCGGTGGCCAGTCTGGTGCCAAATATGAACAAGTTCAATCACATTTCCCCAGTCCTGGCCTGCCTGTGTTGTACCAGGCCAGATTCAAGGTGTTGGTTCTTACTTACAAAGCCCTCCGTGATTTGGGGCCCTGTTAGTTGTTGGAGCATCTCTCCCTAAATACATCTACCCGTGCTTTCTGATTCTCTCAGGCCATAGTCCTTCAGGTGGCCAGGAAGTCATCTACCCAAAACAGGGCTTTCTCAGTTGTGGTCCCCATCCCTTTGAAATTGACTCCTGGTAGAGCTGCGCCTGACCTCCTCCCTTGTAGCCTTGAAGAGGATGATCAAAGCAAGGCTGTTTAGCCTCTCGTAATGTTTCATGGATTGGCCATCTTTATGCTTCCCTTCACTATCACTTGGTTTTTCTTTGATTTATTAGGTGCATATATAACTTTTACTGAGAGGTCTTCAGACCATTTCAGATACGCCATACACAGTATACAAAACCCCAAAGACTCTCAGCCCATGAGTGAAGGGAAGGATTTCAGCGTCACTAAATGATATATATATATATATATAGTTACATCAATCAAACCCCCATTCTCAAATAGACATTCAATTATGTCTCTAACACACATTCCTTTTCATCCTCTTTCTTCCTGCGGGAGGTTGCCTTAACAGCAAAAAAGGGCAACCCTGTGTATCATGTATAAGCTAGATCCATTCAACAGAAGGTCCAGTTTCCTCTCATTATCCCATGTTTTCATACTATTAAGAAAAGGTGCTAGGTAATGTTCTCTAACACTGTCATATAGCTGACAGTGCAACAGATAATGTACAATATCTTCCAACTTCATCTGTTCCACATGAGCAGATGCTGTTTTGAACAGGGATATCCAAAAACTGACCCTGTTGCATCATTGTATCCATTTGTTCAAAGCAGAGACAAGTAAAGGCCACACACAAGTCTCTTTTCATTATAAAAGGCAGATATTTTTCTTCATAGAATGGAGCCCTGGACTTTACCAGCCATTTCATAGGTCTCACCGATACCAAGTCTGCTAAATCTACCTGAGCTCTAATATCTAAAATTCTTTGTTTAAAACCTTTTTTAATATTACAATCATATGTATTAACTGTTTCAACGCTAAAACTGTATTTTGTGAATGATTTTAAAAGATTTTAAAAGATGGAAACCAAGTGCCCTAACTTCTTAAGTGTGTGAAACCTTCTACAAGCTGAGCCAGAATTCTGCTGTTGCTCTGAAAATGAAAATGTAGGAGAAGAAATTCTTTATAGCAGTTTACATTTACTTCTAGATAGGCTCCTCACATGGCCCGTATTGACCATCCTATGTCCGTGGTGTGCTATAAGTGTGCTAATAATAAAAATAATAAATGTTTTATTACGGTCATTGACCAGCAAAAGTAAGAAACATTATTTAAATTAGGAAACAAAATCAATCTAAAAATACTAAAAACATCTATATACATATACATATATATCTACACATATACATATGTGTGTGTGTGTATGTATGTGTATATATATATGTGTGTGTGTGTGTGTGTGTGTGTGTATACACACACACACACACACGTGTGTGTATGTATACACACACACATGTGTATGTATACACACACACACAGATAGATAGATAGATAGATAGATAGATAGATAGATAGATAGATAGATAGATAGATAGATAGATAGATAGATAGATAGATAGATTAGATATAGATATAGATATAGATATAGATATAGATATAGATATAGATGTGAGCGAACACTAAAGCTTTGGTCTTCGAGTAATTTATTTGTAGCATTTCCTCTTTACAGTATTGCGCAAGAGTGCACAATGCTTTCTTGAGTCCTATTGGTGTCTGTGAAATTAGGACTGCATCATCTGCGTATAACAGAAGGGATATATGTCTGTTCGCTAGTTTGGGGGGATGGAACTCCGGATGGCTGAGCGCGGTTACCATTGAGTTGGTATAAAAATTAAATAACAATGTAGCTAATATACACCCTTGCTTTACCCCATTATAGGTAGGAACTTTATCAGACAAGTGTCCTTCCTTGTTGCATCTAATTCTAAGGGTTGTATTTTCATGCAGCTTATACATAAGCAGCAGAAAGTGTCAATCTATTGTGGAAGTCTCTAACTTACTCCAGAGCCCATCTCATGAAATTAAATCAAAAGCCGATTTAAGATCGATAAAGGCAGCAAATAGGGACCCTCGGGGTTTCTTAGAGTACTTACCTACTAGGTGCCTTAAAATTATTATTATTATGATTTTAAAATTTTATTTATTTATTTAACTTACAGGCCACCTACACTACCCAAAGGTCTCTGGGTGGCTTACAACAATTTATTTATTTATTAGATTTATACCCGGCACCATCTGGCGGCCAGGCCACTCTGGGCAACTAACAACAACAAGACAAGACAACATTAAAATACAATAAGAATAAATAAAATAATACAAACATTCAACAGATACAGTAACTAGTAGGATAAATTAAACCAGATGGCTATAAAGATGGTAGAAAGGATGATGAAAGGATGGCAAAAAGGATGATAAAAGGAAATTATATGATTCATATCTTAATTAAATGTGCATGCTTGTTTTCCAGTTTGTTGTCAGATTCCTTAATCCAAGATGTTATAGCTACCCGGCTGGTGTTACCAAATAGGCTCACTATTCCATTGAAGAAGAACATTAATGTTGCTCAGTTACGGTTCCCTATTCCTCATGTGAGTTATATTTGAGAACTGCATTTTTGAGACTTTTTAGAAAATAACTTGGCTCAAAGTATAAATTAGAGTCCTCTCTTTAACGAGAAAAGTGAGAGATAAACCCACCTTCTTCCTACCTTCTGTGTGATGGTGGTGTACTTCATTAAGATCAGGAGGTCACATAGTAAATTTACAACATATTGTTGTCTAAATTTATAGAGCAGAAACAGAGCTATGAGTCCGTTTGTCTTCCACACAGAGAGTGTGGATGGTCTGCCTGTTTCTCCCCTGCAACCCCCCACCTAAGAACTTAACCACCCACCTAAAAACTTGATCTTGAACACGTTTTTCTTTGTGGGCAAAAGTAAACAGATTTTTCATTTGTGTGCCTTTTAAAAACAAAATTGAGGCTTGGTGATATCTATCTTCAAGCTTTTCAAATTTCGAAAGGTATCTGGTGTGGCTTCTTTGCTACAGCAACACATCTGCGCAGTGATTGGCCACTACATGAACAAAATACTGGATGTGATGACCTTTTGATCTGATCTACCATGGCTGATTTCATATTTTCATGCATTCCAGTTTTCTCACTAAGAACTAGCAAAGATTGTTCTAACTCAAGCACATGTATTACACCACTTTGTCTGATACAAGAAGTCTTTAGCAACTTGCTTCTGCATTTATCCACCATTTAATTTAGTCCTCAGTAGCTGGTGCAGAGAGAGAGACAGGAAATGGCCCACAATTGATACAGATTGATCACAAAGTTTAACTTCAATAAGAAGTGGCCATTGTCAGATTTAATTAGCTTGTTTCTGCCTTGATAGACAGCTGTTATCCCTAATGTTATGTATGTGTAATGCCTTTTTAGTCAGAGAAAGTGGAACATTTTTTGCTACTGTGTGCTGTCAATGCTTTTTTCATCATTTGCATTTCCCTATGTCTTCAAGGGAGTAGTGAGAGTGTACCTACTGGAAGCTGAAAATCTTGTCCAAAAAGACAACTTCCTTGGGGCAATTAAGGGCAAATCAGACCCATATGCTCTTCTTCGGGTTGGCCTGGTGCAGTTCCGAAGCAAGACGATACAAAGAGACCTGAATCCCATCTGGAATGAAATGTTTGAGGTGGGGCTTGTACTTAAACACTTGCATGGCACAACCTAGAAGCCAAGGGCTTATAAGGCTTCTGTCTAGCATTCTAATTATATTAATAGTGCAATTTTGTATGTATCTACTCAGAAATAAATCCTCTTCAATTTGTTGGGGCTTCCTGATCATGAACTAGCATTCTAATTATATTAATAGTGCAATCTTGTACAGGTATGTATCTACTCAGAAGTAAATCCTCGTCAATTTGGTGGGGCTTCCTGATCATGAGTGTAGCATTACCACCAATTACACTCAAGTTTATTCTTTACAAGATCTCATCTCTAGAAGGATGTTTACTCTCCTCCTCACTCCATTTTGTTTGTTTGAGAAATTAGCATTTAATTCAAGAAGAAGAAACAATTTGGTCAGCTGTTTTTAACTATAACTCCAAAAATCCTTGGTTACTGGCCATACTGGTTGGGATTTATAGGAGCTGTAGTCCTGAAAATCTGCAAGGCAGCACAATTACAATATCTCCTTTTGCTCGGCTGAGCTCTGGAAGTGCTTTAGAGAGAAATGGAGTCTTTTGTTATGGTATATTGTTGGAAATCAGTGGTAGCTTGTAGATTCCTGATTTGATTGATTTAGGGCACTGGTTCTTAACCTTGGGTTACTCAGGAGTTTTGGACTGCAACTCCCAGAAGCCTTCACCACCAACTGTGCTGGCTGGGGTTTCTGGGAGTTGCAGTTCAAAAACATCCGAATAACAAAGGTTAAGAACCACTGAATTAAGGTGTGACTTCATAGCAAGGGAAATGTGGATTAACTCATGTTCTCTTGCTGTGTGATGTTTTACTAGGGCATTCAGTTCTTTGTGATACAAGTGGCCACAAGGGCAGATGGGAAAATAATCCTTCTAATTGCAGTTCTATTTGAAGTAGGTGGCTTGAATTCTAAGGAACGTCTTTAAGAAAGCTTTCCATCTTCAGTGACTTTCCTCATTTTGTCTTGCTGACTGGATAGCTAATTAAAATGTTAAAAAACAACAAGAGATATGCCTAGGAGAAGCTGATTTTTTTTTTTTAAAGGCATCTTGATGAATTCTAAGGAACGTCTTTAAGAAAGCTTTCCATCTTCAGTGACTTTCCTCATTTTGTCTTGCTGACTGGATGGCTAACTAAAATGTTAAAAAACAACAAGAGGAGATGTGCCTAGGAGAAGTTGATTTTTTTTTTTAAAAAAAAGGTATCTTGAGGCTTTGCAGAGAGAGATGAGTGCTGGCACAGCTTGTGTGTGTGCACACATACTTTCCTGGTCCTCCATGGGACAGGAAATGAGAAAGAAAGTGCTTTGCTAAAGCACCTGTGTGTGTGCGTGTGTGTGTGTGTGCGTGCGTGCGTGCGCATGTGCTTGGTCTTCCCTTTATGCGAGAGATGAGTGCTGGCACAGCTTGTGTGTGTGTACACACACTTTCCTGATCCTCCTTCATGGGACAGGAAGTGAGAAAGTGCTTTGCTAAAGCCTCTCTGTGTGTGCGTGTGTGTGTGTGTGCGTGCGCGCGCGCTTGGTCTTCCCTTTCTGGTTTGGAGAAGGTGAAAGGATTCGACTTTCTGCAGTTTTTCCTCCCCACCAGAGGCCTTTCTACTTTTGAAGGGCCTCTGGTGGGGAGTTAACACTACAGATTAGGGATGTGAGACTCTGGGTTGATTTGTTTGTGCCAAAGTGATCTAGCACTAAATTAAGATATCAGTGCAATGACTCAGTGCTAAACTCATTTATTCAAAAAATGAAACAAATTCTGGGACACTTGGGATAACAGAAGTGGGTTTTCATGCAGGCCAAAGTGATCTAGCACTAAATTAAGATACCGGTGCAATGACTCAGTGCTAAACTCGTTTATTCAAAAAAACAAAAAACAAATTCTGGGACAGTTGGGATAACAGAAGTGGGTTTTCATTCAATCTCTAAATATTATGCTCCAGCAGCCTATGCCATGACAACAACCCCCACAGAAACACACACCCATCTTTTTGCAGAACAAAACAATTGCCCATATGGGAAAAAGTTCTGTCAAATTGTTCTGTCTTGGAACAGAAGAAGCCCCCAGAGGCAGAGAGAGGAAAAAAATCTTCTGTATTGGGAGCAAAGAGGGCCAGACTGATTCAAATTGGTTTCATGAGATCATTAAAAAAAACCCCACAGATTCATCCATTGTACACCCGCAGCAAATCTGGCAGTATGTGACCATGTAGTTGCAGCCTTAATTGATCATCATGAAAGAAAGGGGAATGAAAGGATACAAGTCTATTTCCATTTTCCCAAAGATTTACATGATTGTCCATGGCAAATAGTAAGGTGTTTTGTTTCATGAAATGGTCATGTTAGAGGATTAGGAAGCCCCACCAGTCTATAAATATTTACAATCATTAATGTCAGCTATTTCCTCTGTGCAGTGTCCTTTCAAGAACAATAGGTCCATACAGTATTATGGTATGTTTTTCATATTTCTTCTCCTTGTAGTTTGTTGTTCATGAATTACCTGGCCAAGATCTTGAAGTAGATCTATATGATGAAGACCCAGATAAAGATGACTTTCTGGGCAGGTAAGGAATATACATATCTTCTTTCACATGTAGAACTATCTGTTTTCTCTTTGTGTTCTTGCTGAGGTTAAAGCCAATGTATGAACATGTTTACTTGGAAAAAGAGCAGGAGGAAGTTATTTATGGAATGTGCCACTTTAAATTTTAAATTTTATAACTGAAAATTTCTGGTACATTCTTGCTTGATCAGGACATTTCTACAAACATTGTGCTTTTATATATATCTCTTACACATTATATATATATATCTTACACATCTCTCTATATATATATCTATATCTTACACATATCTTACATATATATATATACACACACACATATATACATATATATATATATACATATATACACACACACACATATACATATATATATATATACACACACATATGTATATATCTACATATATATATAAAACTGAAAATTGCTGGTACATTCTTGCTTGATCAGGACATTTCTACAAATGTACTTTTGATTTTCATCCAGTTATGCACAGCTCGCTTGATCAGGACATTTCTACAAACATTGTACTTTTGAGTTTCATCCAGTTATGTACAGCTTCATTAAGGCTGCAGTTTCTTAGAACCTATGAGCTCCCCAAGTTTCTGTGTTGATACTGCCTGTGCCATTGAGAATGGGAAAAACAGGTCCTGTCCTAGGGAATGAAAGGGAATGGTTTGATATTCAACCACATCAGTTCAGGGCCTGTCCAGATTGGCCATTTTGGATGATTTTGGGGAGGGAAAATGGAGCTAATTCAAAACTGAAGCAGGGTGAGAAGAATGTAAGCACCTCAAGCTCTATGGACATCCATACTTGCTATTATAAATAAAAGCAAATGGAGTAGTTTTTTGTTTGTTTGTTATTTGTTCTGCTTTTTCCCACCCACAGCTTGCTTATCAATCTTTCAGATGTGATGAAAGACAGAATTGTTGATGAGGTAAAATTTTAGTTTTGCTTATTAAATCAGATTTTTTTTAAAAAAAAATACATGTTCTGATAAACACAACTGCTTTGAGTCCCTTTCAAGAAGAGACAGGCAATATATACTTACATAAATTAATAGATTTAATAAACTTTCTGAAAAATATATCAGCTCTGGGGGTTGTTTTAAAAGATATCAGCTTTTTTCATTCAAAGTTTTGACATTCTCATTAATTTATATTAATGTTCCTTGGACAGAGCTGTTGAAAGAACACTAGAGTGCCTTGGAATATCTTTTAAAAGAATACAGAAATAATTGCTAAAACAGTTCTAATTGAAGGAATACAATAGGTCTTTTGAAGAGTGTTGGAACCTTTAGTGTATTTATAGCTGGGAATTATGTGATGTTGTATAAAAGTGGTCGGAACAGACACACAGAGATGGGTTTTTGTAGTGTAGCAAAAAAGGAGTATGGTTGGAACAAAGGAGGCTCAATGTGCTGTAGATTATTTTGCGGGGAATTAGGTGCCTAATCCTTTGAAGGCTGGACCTCCTCCATGGAGCAGGAGCAACACAGTCCTGCCTATTCCAGCCAAAAAAAGTCTTTCTAAGTACATTGGGCTTTAAAGATGTATCTGAAACAAAGCCTTGAAAACTGAAAACAAAGTGCTTAAGCTGCTGTTTCAATTTCCTCTTGTATCCACTTCACAACATAACTTGAGCTTAATGTGCGCTTATGACACTGGTGTCCTTTCCTTCTCTTTATGAAGTGGTTCCCGCTAAGCAAGATTGAAAGTGGGCATGTGCACTTAAAGCTGAAATGGCTTTCTTTGGTCACCTGTCAAGAGAAGCTTTGTGAGGTGAGTGGCTTCAAGTAGCTTTTTTGGAGGACTCATGCGCAGGACAAGAAACCCTTAATGGGTCCATCTCCCTCACTAAGGTCCTGTCCAGACAGGTATATAAATCATTGTGTGGATCGTTGTTGGTATGGTTTGGTTTGAACCAAATGACAGCGTCTACATGTGTTTCTACTTAGACAGACTCTTCCTGCCCATTTAGGAGCTATTGTGTACAACACTGGGGGCTTTTGGTTTTTTGGTATGGTTTAGCATACCCCTAATTATTCGGTTGTGTAGCCTGTGCAGACGATTAATCTGCACCCAAATGGAGCTGTGGGCAGCATTATCAGAGGTGGCAACCCTGTGATGTAATAGATGGGTTGTGGCATTTAAAGGGAGGGTGGAGAAACCCCTTCCTCTGTTTTTGTCTTCTTTTTAAAATATTTCCCTAATTGGCACAGCAAAATTCTAATATCATTTTGCATTCCTGTTTTGATATGCCATTTACTTTATTAAAAACGAAAAAGGAAAGCCACTATGGCCTGTTGAATTATGGCTGTGGCAGAAGGTGGGGAAAAGAGCTAGTCAACTCTATGGGCTCTGCCCCCACGAGGCAGCCCAGCTCGGGGAAAGATAGGAAAAGAGGGTTTTCCTTCCTTCCTTCACCCCAGCATTTTCACCTTTGCCACTGTCTTCTGCTCCCATTGCTGCTATGTCCTTACTTGTGCATAAACCTTGCTCATGACTAAACCGGCAACCCAAAGACCTGTTTGAAGCTTCTCCCAGGAGAATAAATACCCCCTATGAATGGAAGGATCGCTCAAGTGTGAGATAAAATAAATTGTACTGAAGCTAAGACTATTCTAAGCACAAATCAAATTACCCTGTCTGGACAGGCCATGCCTCTACTTTAGTGCTAGCTTTATTCCCACCTACTGCTAGTCCTCCTAGCTTCACTGCTACTACCTGAAAGATTGCCTGGCCAAGAGCCAGTAAGCAAGCAGCAGTAGGCATTTGTTCTGTCTCTTGTACGCAAACCTTGGTGGTTGGGCCAGAGCAAGAGGTTGGTGAACAAGCAAATTACACTGGGAAAAGAAAAGGAGCAAACCCAGGGTCTGTTGTCCGTGGGCCCCTTATTAGATGATGCACCCTCATGAAGATGCCCCAACCTACCAACTCTGGATACCAGCTTTACTCTCATTGTAAGAAAAGATGAAGAATTTAATACCATAATAATTCTGCATAGAAAACATTTTGAAAGATCTTGCTGTAAGTAGGCAGTGCCAGATGTTTAGAAGCAGTGCCAGATGTTCAGAATGCACGGAATTGAAGAATTTCAGGCCTGTTTATATAAGATGCAGTCACGGTCTGCAGGCACACTCCTGGTGGAACTTGCCCCCCCCATTTGTCCCTCTGGCCAGCCACATGGATGGAACTATTAAACTGCCATATAAGTATGATCAGTTTCTTTTCTTTTCTTTTCAAGGACAAGAATGGTCTTGCCACAGCACTTCTCATAGTTTATTTGGACAGTGCTTTCAATCTTCCTGTGAGTAAACTGAAAAAACAGCATTTTCACATCTTTGAACTGCCTATAAGTGTTTGTATGCTCATGGCATACACATGCTCACAAAATATATAGATTTGGGAATGTGGTGAGCAGAGCAACTTTTCTACCAAGCATACTGATTCGATTAATCTTTTTCTGTCTTACTTGGATATTGGTTTTTACAAGTTCATTAGAGTGCCTGCCACATTCTACTGTTGTTTGGGGAAAGAGATTTGCATGCATTTGGTGACATCTAAAAATAAAAAGATGTTTCTTTAAAATAAAATATTATTGGAAGTTAGTATTTCAAAGCATAAATATGCTACAAAGCATGCTACAAAGACCAATTGATATGAGTTCACTTGCTTGGGGTGGCAAGTGAGATATGAGGCAAATAATAGTAATAATCTCAATGTACCTGCAAGTTAGCTGACTGACCCTACTTCCTTCTCCCTCATTTTTGCTGCATTTAAGATTAATCCCATGCTGTCAATAATATTGCAAACATTTTAGTAAAACTCACTTCACCCACTTTTTGGCCCTATAATTAAAAGAGAGCCCAACATATTGACCAAAAATTGAAATATAACATCCTATTGATTTTTCTTCTCCATAGCAAATGTTCTTGCTTTCCTCTGGGATTCCCATTGCTTGGAAGAGAAACCCTATCCAGTGGAGGAAAACATAATGTCAAATGGCTTGCTAATGGTTGTGAGGCCTGTGTATTTTCAGAGGCAATAAAATAATCAGTTCCTAGGAAGCAAAAGTAGATGGATGCTATTGTGTTCTTGTCCTCTTTGTGAGATTGCCACAGGCATCTTCCAACCTTTGTCACCCTATATTCTCAAAATAAATCATATAAGGAAAGTTGTAATGCTCTGTAGAAACACTATTATTTAAAGCTGCTTTTTAGTAGTGCTTTACCACTTGAGATGCTCATTTAATGTAATTAAATGTAATAATGTAAATTTATGTAAGACAGGTGTTAGCCAGAGACAGGGTTTTATTCTGTTTTATGGTATTTATTGCTAAGTACTTGGTTTGATTTATCATATTGTGATTTTAATGTGTTGTGAAACACACACACACCCAGAGTGTGTGCCTTGTGGGATGGTATACAAGCTGAAAAAGCAAACAAGCAAATAAATCCTATTGGCCATGAGGAGAAAGAGAACTCGGAGAGGCCTTTGGCTTGATCCAGCAGGTCTCTTGTTATTTCCTTGCTGCCTAAAGGTCTGATCTCAAGTTGATGCTATTTATTATAGAGATCTCTGCAGCGCTTCCATCCTTCAACTGAATTTCCAATGTGGCTTACAAAAGATAAACCTAAGAATAAGAAATATGGTGGGCAGGCACACTGGAGTACACCAAACACAGCAGAATCTGTAAAACCACGAAAAAAAAAAAAAAGACTGTTAGCAGAATGAAACAAATCTAATTAAAGACCTGTAGAAGTGAGGGAATAAAACAATGTACTGTATTTAAAATGATATCACTAAAATGATAGCAAAGTAGGCTTCATGTCAGCTTCCCTAAATAGAACATTCTGCAGTGACTAAGATAACTACATTTTAATGTTGATTTTGAAATATTTCCCCAATGCAGAAAAATCAATTTGAATATTCCAATTGTGAATATGGAGTAAAGAAGTACAGAAAAGACAGATACCTCAAGGTAAATGCCTCTTACTGAAAAGCCTCTCAAAAGGATGCAAATGCTGAAGAAACTACTTAATGGATGCCTTGATTTTTGCCTCTGTAGCATTCAGGTTTGTCTCTCAACCCTGTCCTCTGTAAAAAGAGGGAGAATGGAAAATTAATGAATTGAAAAAACAGTATATGTGAGACTGTGGTGATGCGCAGCAGGTAAAAGCCATTCTCAAGCCAAGATTAGGCAGTACATGTCAGGTTTCGCAGCACTTCTTTGTTATCAGTGATTTTTGCAAAAATATTAAGAACTCTGCTTCTATATGTTCAAAAGCAGGAGCATTAGTGCTGTAAATAAAATTAAATTTCAGAAACTCAACAATTCTTATTTTTAAATCTCCTTATTTCTAATACAAGATTTTTAATTCTGGTTCTAAAAAAATTGTTTCAGTAAATAATGAGTCTAGCTGTAGCTACAATCTTTAAAATTGCAGTATAAGTTCACTAATAATTATTTGTCTTATCATCAATCTGCTGGGTAGCTCAGTGGTTTAGGTCTCTGGCTGTGGAGTCAGAGGTTGCAAGTTCAGTTCTCTGCTGTGCCTCCTTGCAGACTCAATGATCCATAGGATCCCCTCCAGCTCTGCCGTATTAAGATGACGATATTATTATTGTATCTTGAAACAAATATTTAACTAGAGCCATATAATCTGTGGTTTAGCTACAGTCTTCTGCTTCTAATAGGTAGCCTTTTTTTCAACTGAAAGCTGGTGGGGGCCACTGTGAGATACAGGAACTAGACGGGCCCTTGGCCTGATCCTGCAGGGCTCTTCTTGTGTTCCTTATGTAAGCTATAGTTAATCAGACTCAGCAGTCTTGTACTGACAGAGTGGCACCTGATGCCATTTCTATGAAATTATCTACTGCCTACTGAATGATACTAAAATGTTAACCTCCCAAAAGGTAGCTTAAGACCATTATATTAAAGACTAAATAATGGCTGTATTATTTTGGATTAAGTGGAGAAAATGTAATAAAAAATATCAACCTCTTGTTTCCCTTTCCTTCCCGCATTCTGCACAATACTCACAGTAAGATTAATATTCCTGTTTAGGTCATGTTATGTTGGAATTAACTCTGTATTTCATTTTAAAATTGTCAATAATGAAGAAGATGGATAGAGAGCCGTCCTCCTTTGTCCTACTCACAGTGGGCAACAAAACCCATAGAAGCAGGGTAAGTCATTGACTTCTGTTTTTCATAAATCAAATAAATATGTTTTGTTGTCTTGAAGCCTGTGTTTTCAGCAAAAAAAAAGAAAAAAAAAGCTGAATCAGGATTGTACGAGTCAGTTAATGAACCTTATATAGTGGTGTGTGAAAAACTGTTTCCAGTTTGTAGCCCCCTTCAAATTTGCAAGCCCCCGCCCAATTCTTATTTATTTATTTGAAATATTTATATGCTGCCTTTCTCCTAAGGTATCCAAGGCAGCTTATAATATTAAAAGTTAAAAGCCAAAGAATAAATTATAAGAAAATTAGAAAAGCATTAAATAAGTATCACATTAAAGCTCATAAGAATAATAATATTTAAAACTCAAATAAAACACAGAATAAAATGTTTCCTATTCAAAAATATACTGGTCTAGATAACGCAAAAGCTGCCTTTGTTGCTGTACATATGTTTGCTCCAATCCGCTGTCACTGGAATGATTTCCCATCCCCACAAATTGCATTGATGGCTTTGAGGGCAATAGCTTCAGGAGGAATAAAGGATGGTCTCACAATTAGCCTGAGCAAGGCAATTAGTTGCTGAGGCCTAGCAATGAAATATTTCAGGGCACAGCTGGTTGCTGCACAGCTTGCCCTGCGCTCTCTCAGCTAGTGTACCAATCTTTTCTGTCATGTAGAAGGTCCCCAATAGCCAGCATCAAAATAAGAATGAGCTCCCGGTCTTGAGCTTGAGCAAGCAGGAAAGGCTGTGAACAGAGCCACTTACAATAAACGAGTAATCAGTAGGTATATTTCAATATTAATAGCGTACAGATTCTGTGGTCAGTCTGCCAGTCAGGTAAATATGTCTATTTACATATCAAATTAAAGGGAGTAAACTGATGGAATTCATGTTTGCTTTTTAAAACATTTGTGTCTGGTTCTACTTTGAATAAAGAACAGTGTCTCAGGCCATGAACTTAAAGACTGCCCTTTTCCAAATTGGTTCCCTGCTACCCAGTGATCATAGGAATTGGGGATTATGGAAGTTGGAACCCACCTGTTGTACACAGTTGTAAATATATTATAAAAGTAGTTTGAACTGACTTTTGAGTTTCTGTGAATATTAGAGCTGTGTTGTAAATCTCATTGTGCTTTGGTTTCAAATGGATAATATTGTGCATTTCCTACTCAAAGGGAGTCATGCTGAACGCAGGTAAGACTTCATCCCAGAAGATGGGAGAACAGAATTGCGATCCGAGTATTCTGTGACTAACGTGTGTGTGTGCTGCTTTCTCTCCCTTGCCCCACCTGTTCCTCAAACAGACCTGCAATTTCACCAAGGATCCTGCGTGGGGTCAGGCATTCACATTCTTCGTCCACAGTGCTTCATCACAGTCTCTTCATTTAGAGGTCAGTGGGTCCTCTTTTTCTTTGCACAGCTTGGCTTTCTGTCTTTGTACAAATGCACCCTTCTGACAGTAACCTGCTGTCAGTAGCTGCAGATGTGGATCACTTAAAAATGGATGGATGGGTGGGTGGGTTGGGACTGTTGTGTTTGGGGAACAAAATAGCTCAGAGTTGCACTTTTGTATGCTTAGTAAAAATACCATTCAGGATAATACATATTACACCTTAGACTGGTTGGTACATACATCTCTCAGATAATGTTTCTCGATAAATTGATTAAGTAGAGGTGTGAGATGCACATCATTTGTACTAGAGACTGACTGGCATAAAAAAACCCTAATAAAGTATTTTAACAGCAGTTTAGGACAAGTTTACTCATGTAATCCCTAAATGTAGGTATCCATTTCTACGTTTTCTTTTCTTTTCTGGCATCTTTGTGCTTTGTATATAATGGCATTTTTGTAATAGTTGCAGCTGACCAGCTTTTAAAGCTGGAATTTAGGAATTTAATCTTTTAACATAGTTTAGCAGAACTACCAGAACAACATTCTACAGAACTTGAACCTACCCATAAAAATATGTACAGTATATAAGAACGTGCACTTCAAAAATAGCAGTGGAAAATTTTGGAACTGCAGCCCCAGTGTGAGAGTTCAGAAATGAGGACTGGCTATCATCAGTTCTTTGTCCCAATGTGCATTGTTAGATGTAGCATTGTAATGGCAGTGCCTCTTCCTCGTGATAATTTTAGTTTTCGCTCTTAGACTTTGGACTAAGCTTAACTAACAAACTCAAATTAGCTTACCTAATTTGGGGACTTTAGTGTTTCCTGCCCTCCCTGTACCATTCTTTTTTATTACCTAGCCTGATTAAGAGTTCTGTAGGACTCAGACACTTACCTGCTTGCCTTTGTGGAATTTTAATTGGTTCCCAGAATGGTATTGCCAAATGGTGTTTTTTTTCTACACAAATGATGTAGCTCTGTGAACAGAAGACAGGATGTAACCTCACTGAAATCCCAGTTATTCAGTAAGCTATTTGCATTAATTCTTCATTTTCTGTTGTGAAATTGAAACAGAGAGAGTGGGTGAAAATTAAGATGCTGTGCAAACAGAGTGAGATAAGGAAGGTAATTAAGGTAGTCTGTTGATTGCTTTGAGTTGCCATGTTTAGTTCACCCAGTTATAATCAGGCATCTATTGGCCTACCTTTTGTGGGGCTTCACAGTTAATGCTGGTGACAATCATATATTCTTATTGAGCCATTGGGACATGTTTTAACCTGCCATGATGTGACTCAAGCAACACACACCTTACTTTATCTAGCGCAACCTCTTCCTATTTCTTATCAGTTATTTCCTCCCACATTAACCTGGGACAGGAGAAAATGCTGATGTGGTACACCCGATATGGGCTTAAAATGTGCCAGTTCATTGGAGGTTTTTTGTTTTTTATGCCTCAAATGGTTTGATGTGCTGCACTGAAAAGTCCTCTTCTTAAATGGGGGGGGGGAGGAATCACAACAATGACAATCAGTGTGATTTGGAAGTATACTGGAACTGAACTTGCCACATTTGTCTTGACTCTGTGTTCTCCTCCTGTAGATCAAGGACAAGGATCGGGAGAATGCCCTGGGGACTTTAGTGTTTTCTCTCGCCCATTTACTAAAGAACCCTGAAATGACAGTTGAACAAAGCTTTCAGCTAGATCACTCTGGTGTGGACAGCTGTGTTAAACTGAAAGTTGTTTTAAGAGTAAGTTTATGGTTCTTTTTCTTTATATTTGTGGTTGCCATTTCTGTTCTTGCTGTAAAAATTTCCAGAACTAATCTTCCGTGGAGTAAGTTTATGGTTCTTTTTCTTTATATCTGTGGTTGCCATTTCTGTTCTTGCTGCAAAAATTTCCAGAACTAATCTTCCATGCCAACTTTTTATTTATTTATTTATTTATTTGTTTGTTTGTTTGTTTATACTCCGCCCATCTGGCCTACAAGGCCACTCTGTGGGGACTTACTTCTTTATAGCCCATGAAATAAGGCCCTGCTAATTTTTAAGAGTTATTATTAGAATAAATGATTTGTTTTGTAAACAGTTCTTCCTGGCACAGCAGGACAGGGAAAACTTGGAAAGCTGTGTTGAAACTAAACTTACATCATGTACTTTTCATGCCAAATGGAAACAGCTTTACATGCATCATCATCTCTCAACAAGATGCATCAGTTATATTCTGTAGGTAGAGTGTCCCTTGATCATCTCTAGGAGTCCATGAAAGTTGTTATATGGTAGTAACTCTTTTGGGGAACGATGTAATTGGGACAATGCAGAATAACTGACTGAACAGCTTCCAGGTCATGACTCAAAGTAAGCCATTAACAAAACGTCTGAAGGCTTCTGATCTTGAATTTATACCCAGTCAGCCTTGTATCATCCAAAAGAACATTTGTTCAACAGATGTGGCATTTAATGGTTGATGTGGGTTTTTAGGGCTCTTTTTTCATGTTCTTTCGGTTGTTTCTTCAGAACACGGCCAAAGAGCCCGAAAAACCCACAACAACCATTAGATCTCGGCCGTGAAAGCCTTCGCGAATACAGATGTGGTATTTATTTCTTTATAGCATTTTTTAATTTGCAATAATTATAAACTGCTCTAAATCTAAGAAATTCCCAGATGGTGGAATAACAAAAATAAAATTAAAAGTATGTGAAATGAAAAAAGTGAAACGGTTCCAACAATAAAATTGTGGTTGGTCTTCCAGTCAGTGAATGCTTGTTGACATAAAAAGGTCTTCAGCCAGTGCTGAGAACAACACAAGTGCATAATAACTTTAGTGGACAGACCCCACCAAAAAAGAGTTAGCCAACCAAAACTTGAGTAATTTGTGGCCCTCCAGATACACTTGGACAGCAGTCCCATGGTTTGTAGCCAGCAAGGCCAATGGGTGAGGAATGCTCAGGGTTGCAGTCCAACATTTACATTTCTCCATCTGTGCTCTTTTCTCCAGGTGGCTTCCAAATAAACTTCAGGCTGATGAGCTCTCTTTTGATGAGCTCTGGGCTCAAACCAAGCAGATTAATAGCAGAGGTGTTGTTCTCTCAGGCATCTTGACTTGATCTCTAGTTGTTAGGGCTTTATACATTAACACCGGAGCTGGAGTCCCTAAGGCAGTTTGTGTCGTTCTGCCAACTCCTGCGACGTTGCTGGAACCAGTTGTATTGGCTCTTGCCTTTCCATTGGACCATTTCAGCAACGTGGAGAGGGGGGATCTGCTGCTTGGGTAACAGCCTATCCTCCATATTACTTTTCCCAGGCTTCATGCTCTGGAGAGGACACTTCTTGATACAGAGTATGTTACCATAGTCTCTCGAGACTGAAGGATGCCTATGATACATAGACAACAAAACTGTAAAGTTGACTTGGCAGGAAGTGAGCAATGAGTGGAACCTCTTGCAGTAAGACACATTTACTTTACTCTGTACCCTGCTAGTCCTTACCCTGTGGCACTGAGGAGTGTGTGTTTGGGTTGCCACATCTTGCTGTTCCACAGTGAGGCTAGTGTCTTGACAAGCACTTCACCAGGAAATCCACCGAAGCATTCAGGTATCCATGGGATTCTGTCATTTTCCTAGGAGAGGCCATAAGAACGCATCTCCCACTAGTGAGCAGCCAGGGCTTTGGAAGCAACATGTAAAAAGTAATAATGCTACTCATATTTTGTTAACTTTGGGGGCTAACAATATTCTATTTTCACAGTTCAGCATGTTATAGTTGCAAGGGGAAAACCAATAACATCTAATGTTCCTTCCCAAACATTTTAAGGGTCATTTTTTGAGTAATGGTGGCCGTTTTGGATATTGTTAAAATATCCTTTTCAGTCTTAATTGATAGTACCTCTGCACTGTCAGTAACATGTTCTTAAAGAGTCAAATTAATGGTTATGCTACCACTTTAAGTCTTTTAATGAAACTTTTCCAACATACGTGGGCATCCCCATGGTTTTGTAACAATAATCCTGTAGGCTTTTAAAAGAATAATCTCAACCATGCATCCCATAGGCCCATGTCCAACCCATAATTTATATTATTTCCCAAGAGATAAATAATTGGAGAATTGGGTTGCAGTGCTACAGCTCACAGATGGATTCTTATTTAATCTCTGTTCATCTATACGCTCATTGAGTACTGTCAACCAGATGTTTAAAGTGCTTTCTCCTTAGTATCCAAAAAACTGTTGTTCCTAACAATTAAAAAAAAGGAAATTCTAACTTCTGAAACACAAGACAGCAATTCACACCTCATGCTAGTTGAGGATTAACTGGAACATGGAGTTGTGGAAGGCAGACACAGTCTTGATTTCCCCTCCACACACCAGCTTTCACCCAGTGCTATTGGCATGTTTTGGTCCTACCTGTTGGTGGACACTTGAAGTCATAATTTGGAGAACTCTAGACAAATTCCAGAGTGCAAGCTCCTCCTCCTGTTTGCTTCCGGCAATGCAAGAGGTAGAAATGTTGCAGTTAGAGTTTCCGATTCACCGTGGAGGAGAGAGCTGTCATCTTTGTACGGAGAATTTGGAACTTTCTTCTTGGAAGCTGTACCTTAAAAGGACAATAGAAGATAGACTAGACCTCAGCCGTAGGCCTCATAAAAAGGGGTATGACCATATTCTTCCCCCCCCCCATTTCCATTTTAGGCTTTAGACATAGAGGAACCTGATCCAGAAAGCAAATATACTGGGATAAATGCCTTAAAGCAGGTTCCTGTCCCTGCCACCGAGGACACAAAGGACACCAAGCCACACCTGCCGCCACCACCACAAGCAGCACCAATAAAAGTAGACGTGTCCCCAGTACCCAAGAGGAACAAAGACTCAGGGTTGTTTGAATCCACGGGGGACAGAGAGGAGGATAAGGCTAACTCTAATATAAATGAGAAACCGGCAGAACCTGTCATGATAGAGACCGCTTCCGGGATTAATAAGCAAACAGATGTGAGTGGCTTGGACCCTAAACCACCGATGCCGCCCCAAGTCATTCCAGCAGCTCCTGCATTGCCCGCCCTGCAGAGAGTCCGTCTTGCCCCCAGTATTGCAACTCTGGGCTCTCTAGGCTCTTCAGACTTTGATGTAACTTGCAGCAACCTGGACCTCCATGAGTAAGTCTCCCGACTTGGAATTTTTGCCTACCTTTAAGATTAGTTGTGTATTTTATGTCTCTGCTTTATAGGACAGCAAAAGACTGACATGGCTCCAGCACCCCCAAAGGAGCAGTTCTTTCAGGCGAGGATTGCCTTGACTGATGGTTTTATTGAAAATAGATGGGGCAAATTCAGTGTTCTAGTTATGCAACTGGCATTACTCCAAAAGCAGGAAAAGTTCCTGTGTGGGTTTGTGTAAGCATGCCTCAAGTCAAAGTCTGTCACTGGGGGATAGGATTTGTATTCTTCATGGTCTTTTTTCTAGTTATGCAACTGGCATTACTCCAAAAGCAGGAAAAGTTCCTGTGTGGGTTTGTGTAAGCATGCCTCAAGTCAAAGTCTGTCACTGGGGGATAGGATTTGTATTCTTCATGGTCTTCGTTCGGAACAGAGCAACACAGTAATATTTCGTAGTGCGGTAACGTTTATGCTTCAAGTATAGCAGTAGTAGTGCTGTTCATCCTTCACAATAAGGATTTGTGCCATTGTGACTACGTTTTGTTGATAATATGAATAGTTGGAAACATGCACCACAATGTGAAAAAGGATGTCACTGCTGCTGAAAGATATTGGACATTTTCATACTGTGTGTTCCCCATCCTGATGCCCCCTTGGAATTCTGAACTATAGCTCCCAGCATTTCTAGCCATTGGTCATGATTGTTAGTTACTTGGTGTTAATAATCTAAAACATCTGGACAGCAACAGGTTGTGGGGAGGCTGATCTAACCCAAGTCTTCTCTCAGGAATGTTCTGACTTAAAGTTAGCTTAGGGTTGGGAAGGAAAAGCACCATTTGTTTCTCAAGGCAGATCAGCACTGCAACTTGAGCATGTCATGTGCATCCAACTGTTTGTTGCCAAGGGACTTGTAAATAATGACAGCAATTTATCTTGCAGTGGGGCGCTGCTTGCTGGAATGCCAATGGGAGAAATTCACCTCACTGTGCGGTATGCTTCCCTAAGACAGTCTCTCATTGTGCTGGTTAATGCATGCAGGTAAAAATTACCACAGCCATTTCTGTTTCTCTTCCTTGACAAACATACACTGTGTGGGACTTAATCTTTAGCATGTTACAGATAGGAGCCACATAGACCCTGGCACTGTAAGTGTAAAACTGAACATTACCATCTTCATCTCCATAACGCTGAGTGGAAAGCATGCAGTTAATAACACTGACCAGTGATCTCCCCACCTCATCTTGGACTTTACCTGCATTTCAGGGGCTCCATTTGGCATCAGGTCTTATTATGGTTTGTGTAATTTTCCTGACAAGCATGGTTAAGCAATCCCCAGTAACACTTGGGCAGATGCCCCACTTCAGCCCCTCCAGAAGGAAAATTTAAGAAATGAAGTTTCATCATGATCTTTAAATCTTAGCAACAACCCTGTTGTCACTAGAGCGCATTCCTGCTGCCAAAGCTGGCTTCTTTTAGGTCATGCAAGGGCAAACCAAAGCTATCTGTGTGTGGTGCAATCTGAACTCTAAACAGTTTTCAGCCTGCTCCTTATTCAAGGTATTGCTTTTTCTCCCAATAGAAATTTAACACCATGTTCCCGGCAAGGAGCACATCCATACGTCCGTGTCTACCTGCTCCCAGACAAAAGATGGGTAAACCGAAGAAGAACTACAGTAAAAAAAAGAACTCTGAATCCTAATTATGATGAAAAGTAAGTCCTGGCTACATAGGATGTCACTGTGGAATGTGCAGTCCTTGAATTCAGAGCTTTAGTTTAATCTAATGCCTCTTCTTGGCAGCAGAACTGGATGATACAGTGTCATCTGCTGGTGAAGCATAATATAAGAGACAGGCACATATATTAAAAATGTAAACAGACTTAAAAAGGAGAATACTTAAAATAAAATAAAATTGCTGCTAGGATTACTCCAAACACACTGACATCAAAGTGCTTGAGTATGAACCAAGAAAAATGCCTGCAGAAAGATTCTATTGGAAAAGCAGAAATTATCTGAATTGCAGAACTGTCATCCCTCTTCATTGGTTAGACTTACAGCAGCTGATGGCAACTGGAGTCCAACAACATCTGGTGGGTCAACAGGTTCTCTAGGCCTATTTCAGACATACAGTGGTACCTCCACTTGCGAACATTTTGAGTTACAAACGGCTCCGTTTGCAAAATGTTGCTTCGACTTGCGAATGGAGTCTCGACTTGGGAACTAAAAAAACCCTTTCCTGCCCTGTTTTTGACCTAAGTTCATCTTAGGTCAAAAGAAGAAAAAAAAAATTAAAAATTCTCCCCCTAGTGGTAGTGTACGGATTAACTGGCTTTGCATTAGTTCCTATGGGAACTAATGCTTTGACTAAGAACGGCGCCTCGACATAAGAATGAAAAACAGCAGGTACTGTCGCGACCGCCACCTCCTCCTACGTCACCACAAGAGATGACAGGTCACGATCCTTCACACACACACATACACACTTCGCTGCCACCAACCACACATAAACCTGACACTTCAGACTTAGTATGGATTTAAAATAAAAATTATGATTTATTGAATACAGAAATAAAATGTAAATCACTGAATAAAATAATCACTTGTCACACTATATTTCTCAGACCTTAACCCTGCACAGTTCTTGGGTACTTAACACTCAGTTACTCAATTACCTAACCTATATCTAACCCTCTCACTCTCTAATTCCCCAACAACCTTTTCCCTCTTTGCACACCCCCCTTATATACACAAACTCCACCCCTGAAAAAAATTAAAAAATTCTCCCCCTAGTGGTAGAGTACGGATTAACTGGCTTTGCCTTAGTTCCTATGGGAACTAATGCTTCGACTTAAGAATGGTGCCTCGACATAAGAACGAAAAACAGCAGGTACAGATTAAATGGTTTTCCATGCATTCCTATGGAAAAGTTTGCCTCAACTTATGAACTTTTCGACGTACGGATTAAGTTTGTAAGTCGAGGTACCATTGTCCTCTTACCAAGCAGTCCTATGACTCACTAAACATAGAGGCTGCTCAGCTAAGCTGAGCAGGAAAGTAGAACCAGTTGTTCTACATGGTTGTGTACAGTTTACAGCATCAACCTCTCTTTGCCTTCATGATCTGAACAATTCTTAATGGCATTTGTGTAGTTGGGCTTCTGTTGCATGCCTGCACAAAAGGCAGCTGAGGATCTAGAACTCCAAATCCATATTGGCCACTGAACTGCCTGTCCAGCAAATTGCAAATGAATAGTCAACAGCAAAAGAAACACTGCAGTTGTGGGAAGGTACATTTTTGCTAGAAAGACTCTCCCCCCCCGAACGGTTGCATGATCTTTCCGTTTGCGCTTCGCACCTTGAGATAACACAATTGTTGTGTGCCTCTATTTCCCCTGACTTTGTGCCACCCTCCAACATGAACTTATGGAAAATTCTAAACAAAGATTTGGAGCAAGAAATACCAGATGTTCAAGCTGGACATAGACAAGGAAAAGGAAGTAAAGATACAGTTGATCCACAAATAATTGAACAATGACATAAGTTTTGTTATTTTGGCTGTTTACCAAAACAAATTCAAGTCACAGTTAAGTAATGAATATGGGCTTAAAGTGCAGCTTTTTAGCTTTAATTTGAGGATATTCACAACCAAAGTGGAAGAAGGGTTTAGTAATTACACCTCTTTAGTATGTAGGCCCCCCTTTTTTCCAAAGGACCAAAAATAACTGACAACACGAATCTGACTCAACTCCGGGAGGCGGTGGAAGACAGGAGGGCCTGGCATGCTCTGGTCCATGGGGTCATGAAGAGTCGGACATGACTTAACAACTAAACAACAACAAATGGCATTCACATTTGGAAGCTGTTGCTGTGAACCTACAGCATGCGTTCAAAGGAGCTTTCCATGCAAGTGAAACAGGCCATCCCTAGGCTACAAAAAGGCAGGCAGGCAGGAAGGAATCCATCAGAGAGACAGCAGGAACTTTGGGAGTGGCCAAATCAACAATTTGGTACATTCTGAGAAGAAGAAGAAAAGAATGAGCTCTGCAACACAAAAAGGCCTGGATGTCCATGGAAGACAACAGTGGTGGATGATCATAGGATCCTTTCCACGGTAAAGAAAAACAGCCAAGTGAAGAATACTCTCCGAAAGGTAGGCATATCATTATTCAAGTCTACCATAAAGAGAAGACTTCACAGGAACAAATGCAGAGGATTCACCACAAGGTGCAAACAATAAGCCTCAAGAATAGAAAGGCCAGATTGCACATCCCCCCCCAAAAAAATCTTTAAAAGCCATCCCAGTTCTGGAACAGCATTCTTTAGACAGATGAAACTAAGATCAACTAGAATGATAGGCGGAGAAAAGGACTTCCTCAGCGCCCCTCCTATTGGGGTGAGTCTCAAACCGGGAGTGGTGGCGCAGGCTGAGAGAAGAGAAAGAGGCAGCGGAGAGAGAGAAGGAGGCAAAGAGAGCATGGCGTATGGAGGAGTTGAGGAAAATGGGTTGCTTCCTGGCCCCTGGGATACCCACCCAGGAGAGGAATCGCCGCTTTGGGGATGGTCGGGGGACGACGACACCGTCCTCCTTCTGATACCAGCCATAGGGGAAGATGTGCCCCAAGAATCTGAAAAGGTTCTGGATGGTCCCTGGGAGCACAAATTGACTTATCCCTTCAAAACAGACATGTGGTTGCCTCTGCCTGAGCTGTTGCTCTCGCAGGAGAAGTTCATTCCGAGTCTTCATGATGTTTCTGTTCAGTTAACGGAGTTAATAAATAGAGAAGATACTTTTGATTTAAAAACCTGTCCTGGTTTATTTGGAGATAGGGAGGTCCTGCGAGCAGAACCCTCACACAGACCCATGAACAAACAACTGCAGACAGCTGCAGTAAAGGCCTGGCAAAGCATCACAATGGAGGAAACCCAACATTTGGTGATGTCCATGTGTTCCAGAGTTCAAGCAGTCATTTCCTGCAAAGGATTCTTGAAAAAGTATTTCAAATGAATCCTGGTTTATTTGGAGATAGGGAGGTCCTGCGAGCAGAACCCTCACACAGACCCATGAACAAACAACTGCAGACAGCTGCAGTAAAGGCCTGGCAAAGCATCACAATGGAGGAAACCCAACATTTGGTGATGTCCATGTGTTCCAGAGTTCAAGCAGTCATTTCCTGCAAAGGATTCTTGAAAAAGTATTTCAAATGAACATTTTATTTATGCTTGTCTTAATCTGTCCAATTACATTTGAGCCAGAATTACGAGCTGGAATTTTCAGCATGTATACAATATTGAAACAGTGACGTCTACGTTAGCTTGGGCACGTCGTGAGAATGGCTGATGGTCGGATTCCAAAAGATCTCCTGTATGGAGAATTAGTGAAGGGAAGCCGCCCCCGAGGGAGACCACAGCTGCGTTACAAGGACATCTGCAAGCGGGATCTGAAGGCCTTAGGAATGGACCTCAACAGATGGGAAACCTTGACATCTGAGCGTTCAGCCTGGAGGCAGGCGGTGCATCATGGCCTCTCCCAATTTGAAGAGACGCTTGTACAGCAGACCGAGGCAAAGAGGCAGTCCCAAAACAAAAACCAGGGAGCTGGACAGGGGACAGATTGGATTTGTCTCCAGTGTGAAAGGGATTGTCACTCTTGAATTGGCCTCCTCAGCCACACTAGACACTGTTCCAAGACCTCCATACAGAGCACGATACCATAGTCTTTCGAGACTGAAGGATGCCTACTACTACTACATTTGAGCCCCTGAAATAAGGTGACTGTGTATGAAAATGGTTGCAATTCCTAAACATTTCATACAATATTTTTGTTCAGCTCCTTGAATTAAAGATGGAAGTCTGCACCTCTGTTGCCTCTCAGTGGCATGCAGAGCTGGAATTACGAAAATTGTATCATTAAAGATGAAAGTCTGCACTTCAGTTGCCTGCAGAGCTGGAATTATGAAAATTGTGTCTGTGCTGAATTATTTCCAGACCTAAATGTGTCTCCCATCTTTCTAATACAGAAAGGCAGATCACGATTCTTCCACATCCCATTCATCATCCATGCAAAAATTGGAAAAGCCTTGTGGGATTAAAGCACTCAGTCTTTCCATCTGAATGAAATTCTAAGTTCTGTGAGCCAATAGTTGGAAGTTTACTGTGCCTTGCACATCAGAACCAATGGCCAGTATCCTGTTGCAAATGTTCACTTGCATTAAGGGAAATCATTTAAGCCTTGGCAGCAAATTGGAACTCATTAACAAGGCGTTGGCTGCTTTCTTGGTCACCACTTGCAGCCTTATTAATGAGTGACAAACTGCCACCAAGATTTACACGAATTCTCTTATGCAAACATAAACTGGTACTAGGATTCTGCTCAAGGTTTTTAATTTCTGTAGGGGTAGCCATGGCAGTCGGTAGCAATAAAAATCCAGGTGCCCTGGGGCATTACAGATGAACAAGATTTATCTGGCATAAACTTTCCTGGATGATAGCCAACTTCGTCAATCATCATTTTAGCCTTTTTTTTTGGTAAAGCCATGACTGCTTTTCATTTTGTGCTCAGCACTTCTTTAACATGTATGCATTTCCTTATATCTGTTCTAGGTTTGAATTTTTTGATACATTGGAAGGCATTAAGAAACGAGTGTTGGATGTTGCAGTGAAAAACAGAAAGCCACTTATTTCACATGAAAGGAAAGAACTGGGCAAGGTAAGGTACCTTCCTGAAAGCTGCAACATGGAGGAAAATGTAATAGCAAAGTTGACTGAAAGGGAAAGAAATACAATTATCTCCATTTTGCCATGGGCATTCTCTTTCTCACTATGCCTGTATTCTTGGGGGTCTCCTGTATGAATTGTTTTGGTGCTATATTTATTGAAAACTGTATTGTTGTTGGAGCATTCTGCATTAGACAGAAGATATCTAAAAACGAGAAAGAACATGTGGAAGGGTCAGTGCCTACATCTCAGTGATGTTCATAAACTCCATATTAAAATGTGCTTCTCAGTTTTATGACTGATACTTATTTTGATAATCCCATTATACAGCCAGAATTCAAGTAGTTGTGTTCATTGATTTAAAGCTCGCTATAAAACTAGCGGTAGCTGCTTCTGAAATATTGATGGCTTTGTTTTTTACAGGTGCTGATTGACCTGTCAAAGGAAGATTTACTCAAGGGTTTCTCGCAATGGTATGTTTAAATTGGCAGCATATAAAGTTAGCAACGGCTACGCAAAGAGGGTTTATTGATATACTTCTCAGCCTTCCTAGTTGTGATGACAATGGGCAGAAGGGACCTGTGCCATGTTGCACAGATTTGTTGTTGTTATTTAGTCGTGTCCGACTCTTCGTGACCCCATGGACCAGAGCACGCCAGGCCCTCCTGTCTTCCACTGCCTCCTGGATTTTGCACAGATAGGCAGCAACAAACTCTGCTTATCCATAACACTGTGTTTTTAAATCTTTTTCCCCTTCCATAGGCAAGGTTAGTTCTACTCTAAACTCCTTGAGACAAAAATCCCCTTTTAGAACTGAGTACAGACATGATTCCCTCTCCCACCTAAACAGGCTTTATTGTAGCTCACTCCATCTTTTTATAGCAATTCAACAGATGGCTCTCCTGTCTGTGCAGATTTGTCATTACCAAATCTAGTCTTGCCCTTTTTTTAATAGTTAGCAAATATCTAGAATTTCTGTGCTCAGATAAGTGACCAAGCATAAATTCTTTGCCAAATCAGTGGTCTATTGAGAAAGCTTCCTGTTGTGATTGGAGCTGTAGGAAATCATAGCACAAAAATATGGCTATTAATGCTCTCTGAACTACAAAGTACAGTGGTGCCTCACACAACGATGAATTCACATGACAATGGCTTTTTCTGATAAATTTGCCACCTCACACAATGATGTTTCCTATGGGGGATTTTCACACAACGATGTCTCTTTTCCTTCATTTAAAAGTGCCTTAAACTGTTTGAAACCTGTTTTAAATGCTTGCGATCGTTAGCCCACCGCCTGAAACCTATGCAAACTTAATTTGGTGTTGTTCTGAGTCGTCGTTAATTTTTGGTGATTTTTTGTTTTTCTCTCATTGAACTCTATTGAACTGTCCGTCCAATACATTTCAATGAGAGAGAAAACAAAAAATCACCAAAAATTAACGAAGACTCAGAACAACACCGAATTAAGTTTGCATAGGGTTCAGGAGGTGGGCTAATGATTGCAAGCATTTAAAACAGGCTGCAAGCAGTTTAAGACACTATTACAGGAGCGAAAATGCACATCAGAAAGGGCTCTTTGATCTCCATTTCCCTGCTTTTGAAGCAGGGAATTACCAAGTCCAACCCCTGTCAAGGAGGCACAGTGGGGACTAGAACTCCCAACCTCTGGCTCCGCAGACAGAGCCCTACACCCCTGAGCTATGCACAAGTTAGGAAGATCAAGCACCAACCTGCTTTTTGTAAAGTTCTAGTGTATGGCTACCGGAAAGCTGTGTGGAGAAATACACTGTAGGTTTTATATAGTAAAGTTACTACCAGCCAGTCTGAGCCTGATTCTGAACTGCCTCACAGTCCTGATTTTCTTTTGCAGGTACCAGCTGACGATAAATGGACAGCCTTGCAGCTGATATTTGACACATGAAGAACAGAGTAAAATGGGCATAAGCAAATGCTGAACTTTTGAAAACTGCTGCTAGATCATTTTGTAGAATGTTGTATTTAAACCATATTGTTAACTTATACAACATACAGACCATACTTTTCCACAGGGTCTGTTTTAGCAGCAACTTTATACTTAATTAGTAGTAGCTGTACAACAAACTGCACAGCCAAGAATAAGGTTCTACATTCATTACTATTTATATATTTCTGTCATGCAACATGCATTTGCACTGTAGAAATTATGCCCAGGTTCCACTGCAGAACCATCAGACTTACCAGGAAAGAACACAGGAGTAATGTACACAACAGATGCTACTCCAAGACCATGTCTACACACAGATGTTGACTTAATTCAAGAACTACTTAAGAGTGCCCAAGACTGGGTATATAATCCAGTGTAGGGTTTGTCTGTTTTGTCAAGGGAATGCTGCTTCATGCTCAGGATCCAACCCCACCCTTCCAGCACCAAGAGTTCGGGTAGATAAACTTCCAAGCTGCATCCCTTCTGCCTTCACTGAATTGTGCTTCAGCAGCTCCTTCACCTTGATGGGAAGCCCAGGAAGCGACACAGATGAACTGAGGGTTCATATGCAACGTCCTCTCTTGCAGAGGTTGCCTTACGGTTCATAGCCACACCATCCTAACTCTAGTTTAAACTCAACTTCCATGAGTGCAGAGAACCTGTAGTTCTGAAACTGTTTTAGTTCAAACAGATAATGTGATTAAATGTGTTTTTTAACAAATAAAGTAATGAGATTGTGCCTCCTTAAAACTTTGTCTGCACAGGACTCTGTCCTTATTAATGAACTCATTCTGTAATAAAATTCTTTACCCACACACTATTAGATGGAACTGTCAATCAAAATGTCAAGATTTGAATTAAAGACATTTTTAATCAACACTGTACATAAGAGGTAGATTCCGGCAGCTTAACATCACACATGCATGTTCCATTTCAGCTTCTGCACGGCAGGCAATATTTCTGTCAGATTTCTGACTCCTGAAATAAATAAGAAAAATGTTTTTGTAACAGTTATGCCCTTCAAACTAAGTTTTCAGCTATTTCTAGATGTCCAATGAAATAGGAAAGGATGTGGCTGAACACATGAACTATTTCAGCTATATATGCCGGAGCAGGGGTGCTTATGGTTCAGCTGAGAAGGACAGAGTTCTTGCTGCTAACAAAAAATCTGGAATTCTCAAGCAACAAGTGCTGAATACCTATGGAGAGCAAGAATTATTCTGTCTTTGAGCTCATACAAAAACATTTTTTTAAAATATTCCTGTGCGTGTTATGGTCTGTTTTCTAAATAGTTCTTCTTTCCCAATTGTTTGAACAAGGGGGCCCCAGTGAACAAGCAGAAGCCTTGTTGCCATGAATGAAGCCACTCCACCTCATACAAGTGCAAGTCAGGGAGTGGACATATGCAAGAGGATTCATCACTCTGTGCCTATATGAGCAGTCCTCCTCAAGGTTTTCCAAGTAGAGAATACTCAGAAGTGGCTTATCATTCCCTCCTGCTGGGGCCATCTGGGGAATGTGCAGCTGGCCCGAGGCCACACAGGTTGATTCTATTCATAGGAGGCCCAGTGGGGAATCAAACTCCCTCCCTCTGGCTCTGCAGCTCTCCAGGCAGTTTCTATTTATTTATTTATTCAATTTTTACCCCCCTCTCTAGACAATGTCTACTCGGGGCGGCTATATACCTAATATACTATAGCCTATATATCTATAGATATACAGTGGTGCCTCACAAGACGAGCGCTTGGTTTGACGATGAAATCGCATCACGAAGATTTTGCGATCGCAAAAGCAACTGCAAAACGATGTTCTCTATGGATTTGCAATCGCTAATGTGATCGCATACCGACATTTCTTCGTATTGCGAGGGGGAACAGCTGTTCGGCGGTGGCCGGAACACCCAAAATGGCTGCCGGAACCACCCAAAATGGCCGCCAGAACCACCCAAAATGGCCGCCGGAACAAGGGGGAACATCGCAGAAACGATGAAATCGCATCACGAAGATTTTGCGATCGCAAAAGCAACTGCAAAACGATGTTCTCTATGGACTTGTTTCGCTTTGTGATGATCGGTTCCCTGTTTCGCTAACCGATTATCACAAAACAAAGATTTTCACGCAGCTGATTGGCGGCTTCAAAATGGCTGCCGAGTTAAAAAAAAAATGCCCGCCCGCTGTGTTTAGGGACAAATTCCTCACTGCACGGGCAGCGAAAATGGCCGCGCTATGGAGGAGCATTGCTGGACGGTGAGTTTACAGCCCACAGGAACGCATTGAAGGGGTTTCAATGCGTTTCTATGGGCTTTTTAAAATCGCTTTACAATGTTTTCGTTCTACAGCGATTTCGCTGGAACAAATTAACATCGTAATGCGAGGCACCACTGTACCTATCTACTGTATATACCTAAGTTGCCATGAAATTTCTTAAGTGATTTCCAACATACTTTCTTCCTGACTTTCCCTCATCTGCTTAATATGAGGATAGTGGAAAATCTCACATGAATTACCTTAAATTCTTATATGGATGGGCAAATATTTAGAATGGAACTAAGCTTTGCCCCATTAACAGCATTAGAGCAGAAAACTGTACAGAAGGTTCTCACTTCTAATACATGTAGAACATTCTTCTCTGCATTTGTTAGTATCTTTTCATATCCCAGGACAGATAAAACATTATATAATTTATTTTGTATCTCACATGAATTACCTTAAATTCTTATATGGATGGGCAAATATTTAGAATGGAACTAAGCTTTGCCCCATTAACAGCATTAGAGCAGAAAACTGTACAGAAGGTTCTCACTTCTAATACATGTAGAACATTCTTCTCTGCATTTGTTAGTATCTTTTCATATCCCAGGACAGATAAAACATTATATAATTTATTTTGTAACGCTAGACTACTAACAATGGGTTTGTATATTTTCCCAGCTATTACGCCTGCTGGCCTGGCCCCACCTCCCGCCCCCCAGAACAGTAGGATAGCACTACAAGCACTCTCCGGGCGGTTTACAATTTAATTATAATGTCAGTAAAAACAACACTAGACTACTAACAATGGGTTCGTATATTTTCCCAGCTATTACGCCTGCTGGCCTGGCCCCACCTCCCGCCCCCCAGAACAGTAGGTGTTGCGCATTTACCTAGAACATGAAGCAAGTCTTCAATAAGCGCTTGAAATGCTGGGAAAAATTCATCATATTCTTCTAACTTGTCAATAAGGCTGAAAAATACCAGTTGCAGCAAACATTCATTTAGCAGCACCTCTTCTTATTATGAGTCCAGCGAACTTGAGGCTAATGCTTTTTGTACGTCCTAGCTGTTCACATTGTGCTTCGTCAGACACCCCCCACCCACCCATTACGGAGCACTAGGCTTTAGTCAAATAAAGGTAGTGCAGGTGGTATTCCACGAAGTTAGACCACTTGTACCCCTCCAGATCTTACTGGAGAAGGCAGGGACACAGACAGAGATGCTACTTGTGTTCACGTATTCCAGCTGAACTGCTTTTAGGAAGATATTCTGATGGTCAAGTGAGTTGCAGTGCTGCTTTACAGAGCATACTCTGAAAAGTCCCTGTCTCTATGAATTCAAAGTCTTAAAAGTTGATTAAAAGAGCAGCAGAGAAAGGCGTTATGGAGAGAAGACTATACAGAAAGAGTGTGCCATCATTTTAGTTTAAATGTACTCAGTGTGCCAAAGCACACTGTAACAAAGCTTAATGGGTTATATGGCAAAGGCTTCACACCGACATAATAAACAGAAGGGATTTACAGTAAGAAAATGATCTGAATGTTAATACATCCTTCAAAATATTACTCTTCAGCAACGACAGTGGCCGACATACCTTTCAATGTCTTGCGTCCCCAGCAGCTGCCCGACCTGCCAGGTCACATTCTCATTGAACAGACTGCATAGCTTTCCAACAGTGTTCACCAGAACACTGGGAGGGGCTGAGGTATCTAAGCAGAACACACCACATCAGTTTTCAGGCATCAAATAGACCCTCCCCTGTTCCACAGAAACCAAAGGTTTCCCCAAGGTGAAAGGAACCCTAGAATCTGGAGGGGGCAAGAGACAGGAAGCCGTTAACTCCCCCAAAACAGCCAGAGTTGATGATTCCATCAGAGCTGCGTGGCATAAAGTTGTGCAACAGGATACCAGGCATTTCTTAAAACACCAGGGAAAGCATAAAATTAAGGGGCAATATACCAAACACATTCACATCTGATACAAAATCTTGCATTTTAAATAAACAAAGGACAAGACAACTGCATTTATCTTTTGGTTCTGTTACCTAGCTACAAAAGCAACAGAAAAGGATCTAAAATGTAGCACTAAAAAAAAGTGCTCACAGCAGTGCTTCCATCTTGCAAGATGACATGGACTAATTTATAATGAAAGCAGGCTATATTGTAGTATATTCAAGGCACTGATCATGAAAGATTAAGATACACATTATATGAGCTTTTAGAAGAAATAAGAAATAGTGTTCATAGACAGTGTATGGGGCTGAATTTCAAGAGTTCTTTACAAAATGCTTTTTCCAAGCCCATATGTATTAGACACAGGAATAACCTTTGAAACAAATATCAATATATCTGGAATTAAATATACTTTTGAGCAGAAATATTTTACTCATTCTGTTGTACCTGATATTTTATTATTTCATTTCCTACTTGCAGGCCAATTTGGAATTGGAACCAAAGAGGAGTTAGTTTGAAATGCAAGACGCAATGCTTGTTGGTGTGAACAATATTTATGTCATGTCAAAAAGCACCACTCCAGAATTAGAAACACCCCTGCTCACCTCTTCACCACATCTAGTTGTCTGTTGTTGGCTCTGAACAGAGGAAAAAGCAGTAAGATTCATACCTAGTCCTAAGAGGTCACGCAGATTTCTCATAGCATTGGTCATTTCACCAAGCTTTGTATAAACTTCATTCATTCGGGGGTAAATGCCATTCAAAGAATTCACATCAAACAGCTTTTGAAAGTGACAGACAATTGCATATAAGATTTGTTGTGAAGGCACGCGATTCTTCTGTAGGAAGCCAAGAGGAACAGAGAGAAATTACAATTTTTGATCCATAGGACCAAGCAGGATAAAGGCTGTGTAGCCATAAGCAAATATAGACAAAGACATATTTTGAAACCAAATACATTTGGGACCAAACTGTATCAAAACTAATGTGTGTGTATGAGAGAGAGAAAAGAAAACCTTTGTATTACATCAAAATAGAGGGCTTTATACGAGCACATGGAGAGAAAAATGTTTCAGGCTAAACCTTGGAATGGGCACAGAACTTTTCAACAGGATTACCTTTTCCTCATTTTCTACTTCTTCAGAAATTTCATCAAGCAGGAGCTGAAGGTCTTCAACTCTGATATGTTCCTTGTTCTCCTGCAGAGCTACTGTATGCCAAGGCACCAGTTGCATAAAGAGCTTTTTCAAGGATCTGTGCAAGTTCTTGAAAGAAGAAAATCATCATGAGCGGTCAGAAGAGCTGCCACCATATTAAATATTCTGAGCCCACAAAGAGTTGCCTCTTAACGCAGCAGGGACAAGTATAAAATGTCGGATGTCCATGACGGTGATAAGAATTTATTTCTGTGTTTATCATGTCTTTAAAAAAAAATTTAAAAAAAGAAATTCTCAAAATGCAATTTAATTTGCGGAAAAGACACAAATGTAACTTGTTCCTATAAATTTAGGCCAAAGCCCTGTTGGAATAATAGAAAGGTGTATTACTTTAGGCTCATTATGGTGTTCATAAATTGGGGCTTTCATAAATCAATACTTTAAAAGGACTGTTTCTAATAATACCTTTCATCGTGGATGGTTCACACTCTGTTGCCATAAATTTTCAATTCAAAGGAGGCTTATCAAGATGCTAGTGATAGGTTGCTAGCTAAGAAAATTTCAAGTCCAAAACCCAGTAGTACCTTCAGGCCCAATAGTTGATCAGCCCACACTTCAACAGTAAAAGGAAGATGCTCAAATCCGCATTCTTGCTCAGCCTCCTTAGTACTGCTTCGTGGCATCCCGCTCCTTTGCATATGCGTTACTAAAGGAGCCCTCCTTGGGCTTCTTACAATGGAATCAATGCTGGACAACACCTTCAACAGGAAAGATTTGTCAGTAAGACCACATGCTATGCAGTCATTTTTTGAAAATAATCAGAGAGATATTGGTATACTTAATATATTTAGAAGATTGAAAGTCCAAACAAGAATTGCGAGCCAAACCACAGGTAATCTGAATCTGTTGATCAAACTAATTAATGCTTATGTTTTACCCATTTCCTCTGTAACTGGATTTCCACAGAGATCTACACTTCACATATCAGATTTCCAAATTCATCCCATGTTCATCTCCCAAAGATTAATCAGAACACAGGGCTATAATGAAGAACACTAAGTGCAAGATACTGTATGTAGATACAGAAAATCACAAATATTTTTCAATACTTTAAGAAGCACCTCTTATAGAAAAATGAGTGTATTATTTGTTTTTACTCTGTACAGTTGAGCACAAAATAGACAATGTTAAAGCACTAGATTTCAGTGGTTACTTCGGCGCTTAAATCTCATTTACTGGAATAACCAGAGTTAAAAGTGCTTAATTTTGATTGGATTATGGATTATGACAACTTTCTCCCTGGCCCTCGTTCTTCTTCCCGAATGCTTCCTTCCCCTTTCATTTTTTCCTGTGTCAGTGATTGGCACAAAAACAAAGGAAGGCTGCACGTGCTGCTTAGCACGTACTGATTTCAGCCCCAGTGAACGCGAGTCTAAATAAATATGCAGAGGTGCTATAAATCCTTTGATTTCCTAATCATGGAATGGATTATATAATTGGAGGGGGGGAGAGACACACGCGCAGCCACTTCAGACACAGACGATCATGGTTTTATGTCCTATCAATAAAAACTGTAAGGAGTCCATTTTGTCCTCTCCCTATATATGTTCTCATTTGGCAGCAAAACACTGCACCATTAGTTTTCTGAGACTAGTGGTCAGTGAATGTGGGATTTGCTTAAAATGAATGAATTCTCTTTTCTTTTTACCGATAACATGACACAAGTGTAAGCCAATTTGAATCAATCCAGTCCTTTTGTTTTTTCTCTCTGCTGTGGGGGCTTCTACTTCTTTCAGCCTGGAACAATTTGAATGGACTTTTCTCCAGTGATCAGCTGTTTAGTTCTCCAAAAGGATAGCAGGGGTGCCTGTAGGTGGCATTCCGGTGACTAAGCTGGGCATGATGTTTTGGAAAGCAGGAACACCCACCTCTGTAAATTTTCTCCCTTGTTATCCTGAAGTATTTTTACAACTCCTTTAAAAAAATCAAACTGCTGAGTTTAGTGCTAGATCGCTTTAGCACTAGACAAATAAACTAGTTCGCACTAGATTCACTTCTGCACAGGAAAAATATATAAACACTGACAGCCAGCAAAAAAATTCTGATGACCTACAGCAGGCTACTCTGCTTCTGCACTATATGTATGGGTGTGTTTTGGGGAACTTTGAAAAACCACCCCTTTTCCCTAATGGCCTACAACATTTTAAACAGCCCACCGGCTTTACAATGAACCATAAAAGGCTAGCTAGGGATTGGTTAACATAATTTTTGGTTTACGAACGGAAATCCATAGAAAATGATCCCTTGGTTTGTAGGGGGTTTTTTGGGGGGGGGGCTTCAGTTTGCGAAGGAAGTTATGCCCTTTCAGCGATTCTTTTCTGTCGAGACCAAGACTTGCAAAGAAGCAGCCTCTCAGCTGGTTTGCACTGTTTCCTGGGCTGTGCGATTCCAGGCTGTCGAGAGAGGTTGGCTTTCATTAAAATAAATAAATAAAAGCCCCAAGCATGCGATCGCAAAAGCGATCGCATTGTGATGTTTAGAATGGCTAAACATCACATTGCGATGATCGGTAAGCATTTCGCTTACCAATCTTCGCACTGCGATGTTTGGAAAACAGCTGATCGGCGGTTCCAAAATGGCTGCTGGAAGAAAAAAATGGCCGCCCGCAGCATTTTCGCGTGGTTTCCTCGCTTACCAAGGCGGCGACAACGGCAGCCGGATTGAGGATTTCCGCTTAGCGGTGAGTTTCTATGGGGGTTTTTGCCCCGTATAGCGACGTTTCCGAATAGCAACGATTCATCCGGAACGGATTATCGTCGCAATGCAGGGCACCACTGTATGTGCCGGAACGGATTATCATCGCTATGCAGGGCGCCACTGTATGTGTTTCGGTTAACATAATTTTTGCTTTACGTAATGTCCCGGAGAACGCAAACCAAGGTACTACTGTAGGCACCAAGAAGAGAGACTGCAAAAGCACAGGATTCAATCGGGCATTGCCATGTCAAGAATGGTTGCTATATCTGAACTCAACCACTGTATGTTAGTTTCACAATGTTAATGACTGACACAAGGCATCCCTCATTGCATATATTTAATGTATTTTGCTTTCATTTGAAAACCTTCCAATCGTATCAGCTCACCTATGTCACATTTTGGGGACATACTGCAAAGGATATACAGTGGTGCCCAGCATAGCGACAATAATCCGTTCTGGATAAATCGTCGCTATCCGGAAACGTCGCTATACGGAGCAAAACCCCCCATAGAAACGCATTGAACTCCGTTTAATGCATTCCTATGGGGACAAAACTCACCACTAAGTGGAAATCCTCAATCCGGCCACCATTTTCGCCGCCTCGGTAAGCGAGGAATCGCCGCGAAAACGCTGAGGGCAGCCATTTTCTTCATCCGCCAGCCATTTTGGAACCGCCGATCAGCTGTTCTGAAAACATGCAATCACGAAGATCGGTAAGCGAAACGCTTACCAATCATTGCAATGCGATGTTATACCTATTAAAACATCACAATGCAATGGCAAAAATGATCGCAAAATCCGCATCGCTATGCGGATTCGTCGTTAAATGGTGCGCTCGTTAAGTGAGGCACCACTGTACTACGGAGATAGTCAGCAATGGAGGCTTCCAGCAGTTATGAAAGTTAAGTGTATTACTTTACAATCGGAAAATACTTGTTTTGTGCTGTTTGCTGTTTGTGCTGTTTGCACCAATAACCATCCCAGTAATAGGATTATCAAATTTGCAGACGATACTACACTAGTAGGACTTATCTCTGGGGATGATGAGTCTGCGTATCGGGACGAGGTATTACAGCTATCCCGCTGGTGCAAAAAAAACAATCTTTTATTTAACATCCAAAAAACCAAGGAATTCATAGTGGACTATAGGAAAAAAAGAGCAGACATTCAGCCACTGTATATAGATGGAGTTTGTGTGGAACAGGTGGTTGAATGTAAGTTTCTTGGGACTATCATAACAAATGACCTGACTTGGAGTGCAAACACCGCTGCGTTAATCAGGAAGGCACAACAACGGTTGTATTTTCTAAGGATTCTTAGAAAGCAACAATTGACTGAGAGTTTGTTAATCACCTTCTATCGGAGTTCGATTGAGAGCATATTATCCTACTGTCTCTGTGTATGGTTCACGAGCTGCACAGTGGCAGAGAAAAAGGCAATTCAAAGGGTGATTAAGACGGCCCAAAACATCATTGGCTGTTCACTCCCCTCTTTGGAAGAATTGTATAAGAACAGATGTAAGAGGAAGATATCTAACATACTGAAAGACTCCTCTCATCCGGGATATCAGCTCTTTAAACTATTACCATCAGGAAGGAGATTCAGGGTATTGAAAGCAAGGACAAGCAGATTCAAGAACAGTTTTTACCCAAGTGCAGTATTGAGTTTAAATGCGGGGCCATAGGTTTTTGGTGGAATTTTAATTGCTGAGAGAAAACGGGGTATCTATATTTGGATGGTGAAAGTTGTGTATATTTTAACTTTTTTTTGTAGTGTTGTCCAGTTTTACCTTGGGGAAGAGCACCTCATTTCGTTGCACCCACTTGTGAGCGCAATGACAAATAAATTTCTTATGTCTTATGTCTTAATATGATATTCATTGTTGCACATTAAGAATAAACTTTTGAGTTATAAGAAAGGTACTCATGTGCAATGGAGGCTTCCAGCAGTTATGAAAGTGTATTACTTTACAATCGGAAAATGCTTGTTTTGTGCTGTTAATATGATATTCATTGTTTCACATTAAGAATAAACTTTTGAGTTACAAGAAAGGTACTCATGGCATGTGAAGGCAGGGAACTGTGGTTTGTTTACAGGAACTAAAAGCACAGCATGATCCTAGTTCCTTTCTACTAAGTAGATTTTCAAATAAACCCTGTATTTGGATGCCACCAGGAACAGTAGTCAGGTTTTTACAAGAACCAAAATCTTCTGATTCCCTCAGGCAAAGAGAAAGAAAAAGGAATGAACATGAGCCGAGGTTCTTCATATGCCATTTATAAATGAAAGTGTTTTCATTTCTGTCCTAATTAGGCCACTGTTTATTTTCCGCAATACCTTCTGCAGCGGCAACATACCAACCTGCAAGTATTTTCTGTTAACTTCCTGCAGTTGGTCTTGTCCAATAGTGCTTTTAGCATCTCTGTTTTCTTTCATGTTTTCTTCTTTATTGCTCCCATGTGATCTATGAAGTAAAGGGAAAACAAAAAGCGATAATGCCAAGAAAAACATTTACTGAACATGTTACTTTTGGTTATTGATACTACATGCACTTCCTCATATACTACAGGAAAACATCCATGATCCACACTGGATGCTTTGCAGGGATTCAGCTGTCAGTCTCCTTTCCTACCTGTAGTATCTCTGCAATGTCCAATTTAAGTCTCAGCTTGTTCCCTCTCAACAAAACTCAAAAATGTCTCTGAAAGACCAATTCAGAAGTTCTCAAATGACAGGATAACTTCCAAGTAATTTCACACAGATGCTATATAAAGCATGAAAAACAAGATGGAATCTGCTGGTACTCCACACAAGAGACGATGGAGCGGATAGAAGAACAGATACCCAGCACTAGCTCCAGAGAACATTCCTCTAAGAGCTGGAAACACTGGGATACCATGTTTTCTAGACTGTGACTAGACAAGTAATCCAGAAGGGTGTCATGGTCGACAGTATTTAAAAAAACAAACACCACTAAAAGGTCTAGGAGAACTAACAAGATCTTACTTCCTTCATCCATTCACTACAATTACTTATTTGCCAGGGAAATCAAAGCTGTTTTCATCCCATTAAAATGTTCTAATAGGGGGTGGGTGAGTTACCTGAATATATTTAGTATTATTTAACACTACCTGGAACTGAGAAACCACCATTATCATGCCAAAACCCTTGGAAGTAATTATGCAAAATAGGATTAAACTTTTTTTTCCCAAATAGGATTCACCACTGTTTCCTTCAAACCAGCAAGATCATACAAATGGAGGTCCAAATACCCAGCCATCTCTGGCTGATTTCACTAATTAAAGTGGGCGAGGATATAGAGAACAGGTGGCAGACTTTGGTCATCCATGCAGGTTGTCCTCAGCTAATACCAAATGAAAAATACTCATAACGTGATTAGACCATACACTAGCCTCACCCATCATCTCAGGCTGACTGACGCATAACCCTCAGCAGCAACGTATGAAGGAGGGAGGAAGGGAGGGAGGAAGGGCTTGTGTTTGAAATGCTTGTTCAAGCCAGTTAGTCATTTTATATGGCAGGTGAGCCACTTTTAAAAGCCCAGGAGCCAATTTTCTGCCTCCAGAAACCCTCCAAGAGCTACACAAACCACAAAAAAATGAGCCTACAGAAATAAAAACTTTCGAAAATGCAATTCATTTAATTTATTTTTACCATAAACAGAGGGAGACACGGGGATTTTAAGTGCCCCAAAACTGGACCTTCCCCTGTCATGTTTTATACAAATTGCTGTTCTGATCACAGGTGCACAGGAACAAAATAAATTGATTTTAAATAAAAAGACAGGCAGAGAGATTAAAATCCTAGGATTTTCTTCAACCCCAGACCTTTGCTTGTATGGCTGAGATTGAATGGGATAGGAATAAATAACAATTCGGCTGGCACCCTCGCTGGGTGTTTTTAAAAGACAGCTAAAAACTTGGCTATTTAAGCAGGCCTTCCCTCCAGTCGGCTAAGTCTTTTCTTTTTTCTTTTTCCCCATCTTATCCCATTCTGGTAACTCTTTCTTAAACTAATTATATTAATTAATATACCAATTGTATTTTTATGATTATCTATATTTTATATTGTCTTATTTTATGCTGTAAGCCGCCCCGAGTAGACATGGTCTAGAGGGGCGGGGTATAAATTTAATAAATAAAACTAGAATATCTATGGTATTATTGAGATATGCAACATTCTTGCCTTTATACTATATCAGGACTTTTGTTTTCTTGGTTCACTCCTTGGATATCTAATAAAAACTTACATGACTATTTTCTTGCCCTCTTATACCCTATGTTCAGAACTAACATATTGCTAAGATGTCGTACTATGTCTCTCTTAAAAAAACAGAGGTCTGTTATTAGCACTGAATAAAAATTACATACTTAATGTTCTTCATTGTTTTCTCCAACTTCTTCACTTGGTGTTTGTAAAATTTTAGCTCTTCCATGGTTGGTCTAAAAGGAAGAACATAATTAACACAGTGTGACTATTTCACTTCTCCCAGTGAAGGATACTGACTAAGAATCTTTGGCTACATTTCAACTATTTCCAGATCATCTGCAGATGACTGTCTGGTGTCACATCCCTTCTCACACTGAACTTAAAAATCACAATTTATTTTTAAAATCATCCCTCTCACTCACCTGATTTCCATCTCTTTCTTGAGATTTACATTTTCATGTAACAGCTGATCCTTTTGGGCTTTTGTCTCAATTATCTGAGTCTGAAAAGACTTTAAAGACCTCATTGTAAATATGGTGTCATATAAGCACACACCTACATAACATTAATATATCTATCCTTATCTCACGTCCTCCAACAACTTTACTAAGGAAATCATTAAATGTGCCCTGTTGAGAGGAGAGTACAAACACTAAGGAATACTGACATATCCAAAGACTGAGGAAATCCAATGTTAAAAATGCTTAATTTAAAATAGAAATTCCATGAACTCAAATTTAAACATTTTACCACTTTAACAGTACTTGAAGTTATCTGGTGATAAAGTCACCAGATCTATTATTTATACTGTCTCCCAATTGAATCCACTGTACACCCATGTTTTGACATGTTCACAATTACACAGAGGATCACACTTTCTGAATCAAGATAGTGATTCAATCCTGTACACTGTGCAAATAATATCCAGGTAGCCACAGACTGACCAGCTCGATACATGCTGTCTAACCCAGTCGACATACAAAACAGAAACGTGCTTGTATTTTCATCAAAACAGGATCCACAAAGTTGGGGGAGGGAGAGGGACAGAAGGATTCTAAGAAAATGTAACACATACTCCTGCAGTACTGATACTCCAGACAATATGGATATCTCCCCCATTTTTTTAAAAAAATTCAAGCAGATTCTGACACTTCAGTCTGAACTTTCTGGCATTGCATTCACCTCAGCTGTAAGACTGCAACAGCCCCTGAGATGATGAAAGAAACATAGAGCAGTAGCAGCTGTTCTATAAGGGCCACGCAGAGATCCTGCCAGAAGAAGCAGAAGCTCTCTCCATCACTTGCTAGTGCAGACCATTTGCTGTCTGATCAAGAACAAGCCTTTCAGGGACACCATCTCCCATTTGCTCAACATTATGGCAAATTAAGAAACCTTGCGAGCATCAGCAACGCAACCACCAGACCACCTGGTACAGAAACTTTTTACAGACACTTTTTCATTGGAAGTGGGTCAAATGTGGCCTCCAAAGTTGCCCATCCCTGCCCTGCTGGGCCCTCCAAACATTGAGAGAGGAGCTGTCTTAGAGCAGGAGCACCCCGGTAGGCTCTCAGGAACCAGTCAGTTGAAAGAGTGTGTGTTAAGATGCATAGAGCAGTTAGACTAAGCAAGGATTAAAGGGGTTCACAATGTAAAGGGCATGTTATGCTAGGAATGCACAATATCTTTCAAAACCCATCTGCAAATTCTTTCTCTTTCCAACAGTTGAGTGACAGAACAGCAGGGCATCCTTACAGGTCTACTCCTTAACTCTGGCTATCAATTGAAGGGGATTCAGGCAGGGTGCTTGTCTTCTCCTGGCTATCCAAAAAGTATTTGTTAAAAAGTATGGTTTGGTCATACCTAGAAAGGGGAAAAAATGGTATTCACGACAGCCAGTCGCCACACAAGATGCCTTCAGAACGCTCCTGAAGTGAACCACGTGCAAACAAATTGCCAGCAGAAATGTCCAGTTTTTATCCCTACAGACTGAACAGTATCTGGGTCCCCATTTATGACTGCCTGGTAGTACCTCACCTGGAGTAAAGCTTTGTAATTAGCTGTGGCATCTATGTTCTTCAAGAAATCTTCCTTCTCCTGCTCCTCTCCATGTGTATGATTGGACTCTTTCTTATATTTCCTATAAGGGAAACCACATTAAAAAAATTAGTGAAAAATTATAGATGTATGAAATCAGGACTCATTAGGTTTACTGGTGACCTGCCCCAGACCCCCAACTCCAGTGGAACAAGTTAAAAGGCCATAATGTCTGGAAGTCTCTTCACTCCATTTAGACACCAATGCATCACCACCATAGTACACCTGGCTCTAGAATCTAGACCAATGACTTCTCTTACCTTAATTCCTTTCTCATTTGATTGATCTGAGACTCATAGTAATCAATCAGGCAACAAATCCTAAACAGAAAGAAGGGGGAAATCATGTAAACCTGCAGTTCTCCAATACCCAGAGCCTTCAAACTGATCTATGTCCTGCCAAGTTCTTCCCAACAGGGCAGGGAGGATGGGAGCTGGGAAACAAGGGAAGACGGCCAACACCCATAATTCCAGAGGGGATGAGTCTTCTTACTCCCCCTTCATTGCTCAAATCTCAAGTGTAGGTTGTAGACGGAAAGCAAGGGAACAGGAAGAGTCTTTATCTTTACTTTGCTTCCTGTTTCAACAATGCCTCTTTTTTGGCAGAATTCAGTGTATGTGTTTGCAAGAGAAGTGTACCTCACAGAGGATGGCTTCGCCCATGTAATGGACTCCGGGCCACTTTACTCAGCAGCTGAAGGGATGTAGCTGCTAAACATACAAAGCTTTCACCTGCATAGTTTCCCTTATGTTATAGCTGATCTCAAGCAAGTATAACTAAATCAGATGAGTGAGAACTTTAGGTGTCTCCAAAACAGCCACACACATGGCAGCAGCTACACTAGTACTCACACAATGTGGTTTCAAATAGCAACAAACCCAGAGTGCTCTAAACCAGTGGTTCTTAACCTTTTTTACTCAGGTGTAATCAGATGAGTGAGAACTTTAGGTGTCTCCAAAACAGCCACACACGGCAGCAGCTACACTAATACTCACACAATGTGGTTTCAAAAAGCAACAAACCTAGAGTGCTCTAAACCACAATGCAACCCCAAACAAACCAATGTTTACTACTATAATCTATTTAACTTGCAAATATTAAGATCTGCATTCAACCACCCTCTGCTGTGCATTAAGGAATCTGTCAAAAATGGCAAACATTACTCACTGCTGATCCAAAGGAGTTCTTGGAGCCTGTTTGCAAAACTGGCGGAACATTTTTTTCTGTGTAGCAATGCGCTGCTGCTCCTCCATGCCTGCCCGACTAAGCTCCTTTTCCAAGCGGGCAATTGTCTCTTCTTGCTCTCGTAACTTGTCAGACTGCTGCTGGTACTTTGCCTGCGTGTAGAAAGCAACACAACCACAGAGAATAGCACCGCGCCAGGACAAGAAATAAAAGGAGGCCACAACAAATTTGCAGATTTCCCTATTTCTAGTAAGAAATAACCAGCTTTATTTATATGTGTTTTCTTTGCAAGCACATTTAAAGTGTGTCATGAATACATTCAAAATATACTGATATAGCATAATCTATTATGGGATCAATTATAACATCACATACAGTGGTGCCTCACTTAACGATTTTAATTGGTTAAAAAAAATCGCCATGTGAAAACATCGTTAAGCGAAACACCATTTCCCATAGAGATGCATTGAAAACCAATTGGAACGGATTAGCATCCTTAACCTCACTGCTGATCCAAAGGAGTTCTTGGAGCCTGTTTGCAAAACTGGCGGAACATTTTTTTCTGTGTAGCAATGCGCTGCTGCTCCTCTATGCCTGCCCGACTAAGCTCCTTTCCCAAGCGGGCAATTGTCTCTTCTTGCTCTCGTAACTTGTCAGACTGCTGCTGGTACTTTGCCTGCGTGTAGAAAGCAACACAACCACAGAGAATAGCACCGCGCCAGGACAAGAAATAAAAGGAGGCCACAACAAATTTGCAGATTTCCCTATTTCTAGTAAGAAATAACCAGCTTTATTTATACTGTATGAGTTTTCTTTGCAAGTACATTTAAAGTGTGGCATGAATACATTCAAAATATATTGACATAGCATAATCTATTATGGGATCAATTATAACATCACATATTTCTAAAATCACTCTATAAGAATAAAGACACTTCCAGTGAATTCCAGATTGCCAAACTGTGAATTAAATTACCTGTATCACTTGGTGATCTTTCTGAAGCTCTTTGACTTGATTGTGCTGCTGGGAAGCATTAGCTATAGACTCATCTTCCAGCTGACATATTCTGTGTTTGATATTTTCCAGAATGATGTCCAGATCGTTGGCACGCTGCTCCTGACGAGAAGCCCGACTTCGCTCCAGCCGTAATTCATCTCTATTTTTAAAAAACAAAACAAAACAAAAAACCCTTCGAATTATAAGTGAAATTGATTCTAATTCTCTGAATAGTAATCTAGAAAACCGTGTAGGTAGCAGGTCTCCCTTACAGGCCTGGACACTTGTCACATGGAGTAAGTGCAGGCAAGCAGGGCAGAGCGACTGTATGAACTGGCTGAACTCAGAGAGAAACCACCAGATTCCAGATAAACCACATTCAGGTTCAGCAGCTAGAACAGCAAGAAGTTGTCCTAGAAGGACTGTATGATCTGGATGTCCTGCTTCATCATGTTGCAAGTTTGTTCCTCAGATGGCCATGCCAGCTGTTGGTGAATCAAGGAAGAGATCATCCACAAAGACCACTGCCACCATCTTAGCTGCCTAAGAACTGACACCAACAAGCTTGGAGGACTCTAGGCAGCACTGCAGCAACACACTCAGAAAAGTCTGGACTTCCTTCAACCAGTGAAGATCCAGGCGTACAAAGCGCATCTAGACCTCTCTTGTCTGTTCACATAACCACAAAAAGCTAGTACTCTTTGCAATAGTGGGAAACATGCATGCAGCATGTTCGAAGTGTCACAGCGGAGAGGAAAGCCAGGGTAATTTTAAGTCAGAAGAGAAGTCAAACGGGAAAACTCAGAGTTCAACACTGCGTGAAAAGCTGGAAGACTCATAATTATGCTAAATGCAACATAATTATGTAAAAAATAGGGATGGAAATGTATGTTTTGGACTATAACCCCCCTCACTTCTGGAGACCGGTCATGTTGGCTAGGGTTGATGAGAGCTATAGTTCAACACATGTACACATCACCAGGTTACCTTTCTCCAATGTAGAAACTGTTCTAGGTATCAAAGTAGTACCTGATTGGATATTCTAAATTTCAACAATACTCAGCCACATTCTTTCTATGGCTGCCTTTTTAGCACTATGAAATGGGAATGGAGGAGATGGAAAGGAGCAACTACAGCCTCATTCCAGCCTCCTCTTTCACCTTTTTAGCACTATGAAATGGGAATGGAGCAACTACAGCCTCATTCGAGCCTCCTCTTTCGTCCAGAACTCTCTCCATTAAAATAGCACAAGAAGATTTTTTCAAAACTTTCCTACCGAAGCTGGCGATTATCTTCTATCAATCCACGAACAATTTTTCGCTGACGCTCCGTTTCTTCCACTAGTGTTTTCAATGCATACCTTATTGCTTGTGATGACTGCCTGTCCAGAATAGTCTTATCTGTGAAGTTAAAGAAGAAGTTACAAAAATACTCATAAAATATGCTACAAACTGTTATCTCTCACAGGAAGCAGGCATCTGGAATGAGAAAGGCACCTCATGTCTGGCATGCCCATAGAAAAGTTTGGCCATGGATAACCTGGATAATTCTAGCACTGAATAGCACTGTTATTCAAATGCCAGGTGCATACAGGCAAATCACACACAGGCAACTATATATTTATAGCTCTACACACACTGGATAAGCTGTATCTTCAAACCATTCCAGATGTGAAGCATGCAACTGATGGGCAATGTAACCATCTTGCTTTTTTAAAAAAGTTCTTGCTTACCTGTTAAATTTCTGCTGTCTCCAGAATTATCAAGGAACACGGGCCTTAAACCATGCTGCCTTAATAACTTGTTTATATTTTCCCATTCTTCTTGCTCTTGCTACAGTGGGAGGAGAGGGAAAACATCATTAATTATTTCACATTACTGTACTTATGGATACTTTCTTCTATATGCCTTTGAAGTTCCTTCTAATTATTTCTTCAACACTATTTGACAGTGCCAAATTTCAAAAATAAATATTGCAGAAACAACCAAATGAGCAAATACGAGCATTATTCTATTCTACAAATTCCAAATGCAACAGATTTGATCATAACCACTGATGCACGGCATAGCCCATAGCTTTTCTGAGTTACTCAAGCCCCTTCGCCACGACAAGGCAGCAATCCATGAAGGGGATAACCACTGATGGACAACCTTATTTTTTACTATAAATTCCTTCACTTAGCAACAGCAGAAAAATGCTTTGTGCTGTATTGTATAAGTAGGGTCTACTTCTAAAATTTAAAAGCATTTAGTAATTTTAACACAAATATATCATGAAAATTTTCATCACTTTGTAATTCTGCAAACCTCACCCCCATTTCTGTCTTTTTCAATGTCAAGTGGCCATTGGCTTTCTTGGCAATTAAAAAGACTCTGGATCTAGTTATGACTTTCCTGTAGACTCAATCATACCCCTCAGTTCAGACAATACAAATAAGTTAAATTAAAATAATAGCTGGAAAGGAAAAAAAGAAAAGGAAGGAGGAAAAGGAAGACTACAGAAAATGAAGAGCATTCCAGATACTTGTCCAGCTCTCATAATCTTTAACAATGCTGCCATGCCCAATATCACAGCATCACACAGACACCCAATGCAGAAGCCTCAACAAACGACAGGTGGGCAGGAATTCTACTTAGTCCTTACCTCATCGCTGTTCCATGGATCACTGGACATCCTTCCTGGGTTAGAATTCACTGTCACAGTATCCAACACATCCTATTTGGACAAGGTGCAATCTAGGGAACTCTGAAACACAAAACAACAAAAAGTCATTGGGTCATGGCTTATCTTCTAGTTCACATTTCACTGGCAGGAGGATAACCTCAGTGGGTTTTCACCATAGAATATTCTTGTCAGTAGGAAAGGAGGTGACTTTAAGCAATAACCTTCAAAAGCCTGATCCGGGGGGAACCGTCCTGAGCAGTGTAGTAAAGATCACAGGAGGAACCATCACAAAGGGCCTTCACCTCTTAGAGACTGCTGTCCAATCCTTAAAGAAAGAGGTCCACCTATCCCTAACACCTTGTAAGTTTAAGACATCCTGTCCTAGTGGTTCCCACACTCTGAGGCCCTAAAATATCCTTGAACTGCAACTCCCAGAAACTCCAGCCAGCACAGCCAATGGTCACGACTTCTCCGAGTTGCAGACCAAGAACATCTGGGGGCCCATATTTGGGGATCACTGTGTTAAACACATGTTTGGAAGGGCAGGCTCCTCAGAAGTAAGTCCTACTGAGGAAACTGGGCAAAGGGTTTTCAACCTCATCTTTCAACAAAGAATGCTTGGTACCAGCAACAGACGCATTCTGACGTTGGTACGCCAAAGAACTCCAAAGTTTCTTAAGAATTCTGGTAACTCACTCACACAATGCTATTTTTAGACTTATTTCAAGCTAGTGTGTAAGGTTTTGCATTTTGAAGACACGCGACCCTCATACACAAAAGGTGTGCTTCTGGAGAGTCCCAGTGCTTTACTACCACCTCATCTCATTTTTCAGCTTTCTTCAAACAAAGACAGTGGAACCAAGCACCCATTCATGAGCAGGTTTGTGCCACGGATAGTTTGCTGGCTGAGAAAAAGGACAAGATGCCACTCTCTCCCACTCTCTCTTGTACATACAGAAGCTACCTCGACTGTCAACTGATTCTTACTTCAACTCTGGAATCAGGACACTTTCCTCCATCACCCTGAGGGTAGCTGTCAAGCTTCCTAGCACGCAAACAGTCATTCATCCCTTGGCTGCCTCTTCTCATCCCTTCTGCATGAGGTAGCCTCCTTAGGCTAACCAGCAGTGTGCCTGATCCTGCACTTGTGCTTGTCTTAGAAAACATGCCGCAGTCCTGTGTATACTTGGAAGTTAGTCACATGTAGTATAATGTGGGCTTCCTCCCAAAGATGTGTGAATAGGATTAGGAACAGTCTTAAACAGAAATCCCCACATTTTACTGCTCCTCAAAAGCTCATCTCACCGGAACCCTAATACACAACATAACTGACAAGAAAGCACAATGGGGAAATATTTCCCCTTAAAATTTCAAACACGTAAAAGATTACATTATGAAGACCATCCACTTCAAAATGCTTTACTTCATTGATAGTAGAAGACGTTTACAAGTTTTTAGTATCTGCCATTATATGGATCTGCACAGATATCATGGATTGGTCTCCGGCACTGTAAATCATTTTGCAATCTTAAGATTTAGGTAACAGACAATGAAGCTATACATCGTTTCTGTAATCTTGAAAACAACAGACAGCAAGAAACAAAGCTTAGTTAACAACGGTACAGTTTTCACTGCTGCACTTTCATGATAGGGTCTTGATTTTTGTGCCCCTTTTTAATAGCTGTAACATGCAAAGGGATAATTAATAATTTGATACAGATCCTTCACAAACAAGCAATTTCCTGTAAACATTCATATACATCTCTGGCTAAAGTGTCTTTCATTGCAAGTCCTCATGCAATGTGTAAGACATGGTGTAAAACAAGCATGCAAAGGATCAGGTTGTAAAAGTACAATTAAGGGAGATCCACTGCTGTTAAAGCACATGGAAAAGTTGAAGACACCCAGACCACTCCAGCCCGTAACGAAAAAAAAAAAAACCGTCTGACGAGCATGCGCTCATTGTGAACAGTTCTGAAAATTTGGGGGCTACGTGTGGCAGCTGCCAGGCTAGTTTCCCTGCTTTGTTATATGGCACAAACCAAACCGATTACTACCATTAAACAAATACAATCATAACAATAAGGATTCTCAGTTGTACGTTTCCGAAAGGAAGCAAAGCTGAAACACCCCATAAAAGCGGAACGCTACCGCCAGCAGGAAGCCTAAGGAGGATCCCGCCGGTCTAGATAAGGCAGCCCCCAAGAGGGGATCACAGACTCGGGGAAGAGATCCACTCCCCCCAAACCCCGACCATGCTTCCCTCCCCCCCCGCGTTCTTGCGCGTCCGTGGGATCCACGCGGATTCCCCCTCCCGGCAGACCCTCCCACCCCTACCTACCGGGCCCCTTTTCCTTCCGCAGCAGAGGGAGGCCGTTATGGGCGGTCCCTCGGAGGTAACAAGGCGTGAAGACGGAGGAACTCCAGGCAGGATGGCAGACGAGCAGGCC